ATTATTATGATTATTATTTTTATTATTATTATGATTATTATTATTATTTTTTTTAATTTTTTTCTCCTATACTTATGTGAACAAAGAGTGTTTTTTATAAATACTTTAAATAAATGCATTCAACTAGAAGTATAAAAACAAAACGTTCTACATATACTGCCTTTGTACTCTTTGTGCTTGCTATTCAATGGACTTTCTATGACTTTATGACTGAAGTGGTCGGCGTTGCCCGTGGAATTTAAAAAACACAAAAAAAAAATTTTTGAAAAAAAGGCCAGCCAATTTATTCCAGCCGTTTGGCCAGCTAAAGCTGATATACAAATGTTATATATGAGTGAAGAGCTTTTTTATTTATATATAGATAACGCTAATCTACCATGGTTGATCTCGATATCCGTTGTGACAACTTTTGCATTTTAGGATAATTTAGCTTAATCCCTTGATCTTAGTTTTACTACCCCACATGTTCCCACCACAGAATATTGAAGAGCAATTGATGAGATGTAAACAGAGGTCAATATAATTCCATCTGATCAATCCCAAATGTTGATTGATTGATATTAGTGGCAGAAATGAACCATGTTGTTATTGTAAACAATTGGAAGTATAATGTCAAGCTGTAGAAAAAATTCCATACTGCAGAATGTTAACTGTATATCATAATTTATATCTTATATTCAATACTAATATTTACATCTTTTAACTCCCCAAATGCAGTACACATTTCTGAATTGTAGTACACGTACACAAAAACTTGTCAAAGTTCACAATGACATATGCCCCTAAATGTACCTTCAATCCCGATACCATTTGGGATCAGAATGGGATTATATGGAACCCACGACACAAAAAACCGATCACTGCATGATCCCCAGGATTTACAAAACAAAAGTTTTTACCTCTAAGTTTTAAACTTTATTCTTTAAATCCAGTTTAAAACTATTTAACCCTATTCCCACACACACCCAAGCTACAATATATAAAAGTATATATAAAGGAATTGAGTTTTTGCCTCAAACTAAAATCTTCTGATTCCAATATCTTTGCAATCTTTTGGTGCAAACCTTTGATATTTCAAACTTAGATTATTTTATCTATAAGTTTTCATAGTTTCAAATATCTAAGGTCTAAGACATTGGGTTTCAAAGATATAGAGATTAGAAAATCAGACTGTGTGACAAAAACTCAACTTCTTTTTTATCTTTTCAGGGTGAGTAAAAAAAGGGTGAATAGCGAGATATTGCTCATAGTAAATAATTTGTTTATGGTAATCTCATTTTTGACAAATATGTAAATGAAACTTTTGAGTTTTTATCTCATAAACCCTATAAAAAAATCAGCGAAACTATTTTTTACTCAAAATAAGATGTTTAAAAAAACAGAGTGCGGGAATATCTCTCTCTCTCTCTCTCNTCACTCCCTGTTTGTTTGTGTGTTCATTGGAATTCCGAAAAAAGTGCTTTCACAAAAAATTCTTTAAACAAGGAAATTGGCGCATTCACGACCCAAATATGGGCTTCAGGGCTACTTATATTCTTTAAAATGCGGGAATATATATTACTCTGATTTCACCCCCGGCCCACGTAGGGTAGGGGTGCTTTGTAGAATCAAGGCCTCGAGGTTTTTACCCCCTGTCACGTGATCCACCTGAGTCCTCTGATTGGCTTATCGACTGAGAATGATGCGACGAGAAAACCTCCGGAAAGTGCATATATCAGCTGAGAGGCTTAGTGAGCTTTGTCAAGCCGTAGTAATAACTTCTCACCTGCAGGACAAAGGAAGGAAGGAGACTAAACAATAGAAAACATAATCAAAGAAGAAGGAAAAAAGAAAGAGGAAAATGAAAGAGGAAAAAATTTGTTTTAAAAAAACTTTCTAACCTGTGAAGTAGGAAAATTCCTTTTTATCTCCAACACAAAAAACTGTTTCACACTACGAGATAATTTTGTTAAAAAATGTTGAAATTTCGTTGAGGTAAGAAACTTTTAGCCTATCTAATATTATTAATAATTATTTATGCTGCCTTGATATTTTTTTTTAAAAATATGTTAGATCAATAAATTAAATTTGAGCTCTAATTGTAGTAGAATCGAAAGAAATATATTGTAAAGGTAATGAAAGCTGAACTATTGCTTGTTTACTATTCATATTTTTACAAAAGTTCTTCGACGTTTCCTATATCTAAAGCTAGTATTAAATGTGTTAGTTTCCATGCTTGTAATTAACATAATTTGACATGTAAAAAAATAGCAATCTAGACATTTTTACAACAGCCATTTTGAAAAGTTAGATTCAATTTACAACCTTTTAATCTCAAAGAAGAAGAAAATTTGTTAAACGGTCAAGCCGGAATTTTCCGCATTTTTCTTAAAGTCTTAAAATGTCGTCTTCCAAAAATTAACATTTTTTTCCCCGAGCTAAGCTTCTTAAAGAATTTGACATGAAAAAGTGGCCTGCTCTAATTTTGTAAGTTATGTAGATGAAAAAGATGAAAAAGATTTAAAAGAAAATTAACTTTCGATTACTTTTTACATTGCTGAAATAGGTTTAGTACTGATTAACCTACTCCAAATTAGAATCTAAGTTGGAAAGATGTTTTCGCAAACATTCAGAGTACAAATTGTCCGAAGAAACACACATTAAAGTGTTTTGTGTAAAAATTAAAAATTATTATAATTTGGCAGAACAATGATCAAACCAAACTAGGGTTTTATTAATAAAGACTTGCAGCAAGTGAAATTACTATATTCCGGTTAAACTCATCGCTTGTATTATTATATTTATTATTGATTATTAGTATTATTATTATTATTATTATTATTATTATTATTATTATTATTATTATTATTATTATTATTATTATTATTATTATTATTATTATTATTATTATTATTATTATTATTATTATTATTATTATTATTATTATTATTATTATTATTATTATTATTATTATTATTATTATTATTATTATTATTATTATTATTATTATTATTATTATTATTATTATTATTATTATTATTATTATTATTATTATTATTATTATTATTATTATTATTATTATTATTATTATTATTNAAAATTCAATTTTCGCAAATTTGCAAATTTTTTTGCAGATTCTAAAAGTAGAGCACAAGAGCTTTCTAATGATGTATCATTTGTCATATTTGGACATAAAACATGGGATTTAGAGGGGGGGTCAAATTGACCCCCCCCCCAGCGTATCCTGGTTTTCAAGTACCCCAGCGGGGATAGGGTTAAAAAGGAACTAACCCTATAAAGATCACAAAGATAGATAGATAATTATAGATGTATTATAAACGTCAAGATAAAGCTTAGAGCATATAACAATAAATATATAGATAGATAGATATAGATGGTTGGATATACTTATACTAGGATATTGAAAGATAGATAGATAAATAAATAAAAAAAATATAGTTATTGTATAAAAGATAGATAGAAGATAATAAGATTGATTTATAGATGGAAAATTTATAGAATTAGTTACTACATAAATACGAAATAGACAGATAAAAAGAAAGCATAATTTATATACAGATAATAAGAAAGGTAGATAAATAAATAAATTGAATATATGAATTGAAAAAATAATAACATACAAACAGAGAAATAGATAGATAAAAAGATAAATATAGAGATAAACGTAGAATTGGAGATAAACGAAGAATTAGAGATAAACGTAGAATTAGAGATAAACGTAGCATTAGAGATAAACGTAGAATTAGAGATAAACGTAGAATTAGAACTAAATAGAAACATAGATGAGTAGATTGAAAAATTCAAAAACATAGAGATAAATAAATAAGAAATTAGATTAATTAATTAATATAAAGATGGATAGAAAGATAGATAAATGATCTAAATCTAAACTCTATGTTTACGGTCTACCCGTCAAACTAATTAACCTTGGCTTCTATAATTAAATCTATATTTGACCCCGGGAAGTGGTTGCGTCAAGATATAAGATATATGCGTAACCTTAGTATATTAGCGAACTCAGTAAACTTAGTAAATTCATTCGTTTTTTCATCCTTGCAACTAATGTGAACCTTTGAAATTTCAAACTTTGACTATTTTATCTAACAGAAAACATCTACATCTATATATAAATTTGGCTTGTCTGTGTGCTTGTTTGTATCCAATAAACGTCAAAACGGCTGAACCGATCGGGCCCAAGTTTTTTGTGGGACATCACGTGACCACAGGGAAGGTTTATGAATGATAAATATTAAAAATAAATGTGTTTTAAAGGTTTTTAATATTGTAAAAAAAATTAATTCTTGAAAATCCGCGAATTTTTTTTAAATCCTCATAATTTTTTTCTTCTTTGTTTTAAAATGTAAACAAAAAGAACATGTTTACAATTTTAATAGAAGATGGGCGCGAAGCGCCCTAAAAGCCTAGTATCTATACATAAATTTGGCTTGTCTGTCTGTTTGTTTGTATCCAATAAACGTCAAAACGGCTGAACCAATCGGGCCCAAATTTTTTGTGGGATCTCGCGTACCCCCAGGGAATGTTTATGAATGATGAAAATAAAATAAAATTGTGTTGAAAAGCTTTTTATTTTTGTAAAAAATTTTCAGATCTTGAAAATCCGCAATCTTTTTTTATAAAATCCGCGAAATTTTTTTTTTCTTTGTTTTTCAATGTTACATTAAGAGCATGTTCACAATTGAGATAGAAGATGGGCGCGAAGCGCCCTAAAAGTCTAGTATATATAAATTTAGCTTGTCTGTTAGTTTGTGTCCAATAAACGTCAAAACGGCGGAACCGATCGGCCCCAAATTTTGTGTAGGACCTCACGTGACCCCAGGGAAGGTTTATGAATGATCAAAATTTCAAAAATTAATGTTTAAAAGCTTTGTATTTTGATAAAATTTTGAAAGTTGAAATCCGTAAACTTTTTTTGTCTACTGTAAAAAGAGAAGATGTTCACAGATAAAGCCACAATTAAAAGTTGAAAAAGAAGATGGCCCAAAGCGCCCTAAAAGCCTAGTAATTTAAAATATGAAAGGTCTACAGCATCAGGTTGTAAAATGTAGGAATGATTAACTTTAAATTTTTGTCAAGTAGAAAAGTTTGATTTTTAAGACAAGCTTCACATTGAAATATTTTTTAACGAGAAAAAATAGTTTACAATGTTTTTGCCGCAGCCATGAGCCAAGCAGTAAAAGAACTATAGGGAGTTCTTACTCTTTTAGAAAAAAAACTTTGCAAATACAAATAAAAATTAATTTGATCAAAATACAGCATTAAATTGTTTGATTCCTGTTACAGCAGTTTTACTAAAAATCTGGAATATACTAGATCTCTGTAATTCGAGAAGTTTATTAGGAAAAAATTTGCTTATGCATATTTAATATCTTTCAATAAAAATAAACAATATTAATACTTTTGTCTTGATTCAAACAGTTTATAAAATGTGTTTTGTCTATTTGTCCGACAATAACCTCTTAAGAGCTGTAAAATTTGCACAAATCAGTTCAAAAGTAAAACTAAGAAAAAAGTGTGGTATGTATAACACGCAGATACTGATTTATAAAAAAATGCAACTAGTTTTTTTATCACAGAAAAAAAGTATATTTTTCTACATACAGCGACAATTTGGTTTACATTTTGTACCTACAAAAATTAATTGTTTAATTAAAAGATCTGTTTTTTTGAAATAGAAAAATTAATATTACTAAAAAATTTCATTCTAAACAAAACGTGATACACAGAAAAAAAGTAAAAATATGATTACAAAAAAAATTTGTTATCAAGTAAACTTTACATTTTTAAAAACATGTTATCTAAAACTTATTGTTTTTAAGTTAAGAAACTAAAAAATTTATCTGAGCAAAGAAATAGTTAAAGGAGGAGAGTCAATTTCTAGATTTTATTCCGTTTCTTGGTTTTTTAAATAAAGAAAAGTATAGTTACCGTATAACTTATAAAATTTTAATCTTTTAATACGGATATCTTTGCAACCTCATGTCGTACTTTTTTGATATATCATAGAATAGATTCTGCTATGATCCTTTTGGTCAAAGTTTAAATTATCAAAAGTTACAAAACAGGTTTCAAGATCAAGAAAACTAATGTTTGATTTTCCTCCCTTAAACCGTCCTTGAAGATACAAAATACTGAAGCCGCAAGTTTGATGCACGGTTTCTAGTTTCGAGTATTTGAAAACAATGTTGAGGCGGTAATTTAAATTTTAGAAAATAAAAAAGTTTGAAAAAACATTTTTAACAAAAATATTGACTTCTAAAAACTTGCCTCACGCAATTCTCGAAACCCAGATTCTGATACCGAGTATCAAAAGTTTCGGACTCTACAGATTTTGATTTTCTTATGATGTACTTTATCACAGAATAGAGAAGATAAGTAGTCTTGTCTTCTCTGTTTACAGTTTTAGTTGCATTTTCATTTAGTGGACTCAAGGATACAATTGTTAAAAGTGATTTTAAAGGGAGTGTTCGCGGTTTAAAGTTTTAGATTTAAAAGTCAATAATGATTTCACTTTCATGCTCATTTTAATCCTGTAAACCTGAAGCGTAAAATTTTCGTATTTTTCGAAAATTTTAGTATTTAATGTTTTTTTAGATAGTTTGGAATAATAGATTAAAACTAAGTTATGTGTTTATTTAGCATGCACAAAATAAAATTCAACCACCGGATCATGTTTAAAAAAGTAGGGTTTTGAGCGCTTCGCGCCCATCTTCTATTTCAACTGTGAACATTTTCTTTTTGTTTACATTGTAAAACAAAAAGAAAAAAATATTGAGACAAGCTAAGTATATATATAGATTTCAGGTCGGCATTAAGGTCTCATCCTTCGTTGGTAATCCTGTACATGTATTCCTTGGATAAAATCCTGTACATGTATTCCTTGGATAAAATCCTGTACATGTATTCCTTGGATAAAATCCTGTACATGTATTTCTTGGATAAAATCCTGTACATGTATTTCTTGGATAAAATCCTGTACATGTATTTCTTGGATAAAATCCTGTACATATATTCCTTGGATAAAATCCTGTACATGTATTCCTTGGATAAAATGAAGATTTTGTATATTCGAATTCCTCTTTTTATTCATGTATCACAATTTCAACATAAATTCCATTAAAACTGAGTAACTGTGTTTTTCTGGAAACATATCTCATTTCTGTGACAGTTGTTTATATAATAATGTCAAAACTACTCATCCGGCATTTTAACGACGTAAAAAGTATATGTGGCAAAGTGTGTGTAGTGGAGGGGAGGGGGGGGGGGGAAATAATCGAAGAAAACAAATAGGAATCATCAGGTTTAAAACTTTTAATTTAGAAAAACCCCAATATCTTTCACATAAAGAATTAAGGGATCGTTGTGAATCGGGCATTATTGAGGGTCACTTAGATTACGCTTACAGTCCCTTTAGTTTTGATTAATTAAAACACAAATATATGTGTATGCGTGCACTTCTCATGCTTTCAATATGTTGGAAAATAATAAAAATACTGCGCATTTTGAATTCTTTTTATCTTTGATATCAAAGCTATCATTAAACCAGGCAGCTCCGATTTCTGACTTAAAGTACATTTAAATAAAATTTAATTTTAAAGCACAGTTGTATTCATACACAGCTTATCTTTATTTTGAGACAATTAAATTGTGTAAAAAAGGATTTGGTTTTTGTGTTAATAAATTCAATCTTGTCGTTCCAGTAACAGTACATTGGGCAAGAAGTGGACCAAGAGGTCGATTTATTGCATAGATTGTAGACGCCTAGCAGGGGTGTATACAGGCAGGGGCGTACGAAAGGGGGGCATTGGGTGCACGTCCCCCCATTACGGTTGATTGGCCGGGCCTCATTTATGAAATGATTATGTCGGGGAAAAAATGAAAAAAAATGACACTAAAAGGCAAGTTATTTCATCCTTTTTAAGTTTTTTTTAGTTTTTCATCATTCAGCAATTAAAATCATAAAACTTCTTTTATATTATATGCAAACGAACCTAATTTCTGTAGGAAAAAATGGTATTGATGAACTTTTGGAACTTTTTTGACACAAACTCAAATTTTCTAATCTCTATTTATTTAAAACCAGATGGTGTAAACCTTTGATATTTATGTGGTGTAAATTTAGGCTTTTTGGTTTAAAAGAATTCATTGTTTGAAATATCAAAGATCTACATCGGGTTGCACGGATATAGGAATTATAATTTTGCATCTCTGATATAAAGATAATAAACAAATATATGTTCTAAACCTAGCAAAGCCTAAGTATGAAAGAAATAAGAGTCTTCTATATAGATAAAAAAATAATCAATATTTTTTTCAAACAAAAGGGGTTTGTAAGGGGGCGCACAAAATCTTCCAGAAGTTGACAACAAAATTTCACAGCACTTACGCGCGCAAAAGGTGCCCCACATACACTGAACCTCCTGTACGCCCCTGTATAAAACAGGACTTTCCTATGTTGCTAGCGGAGGAGGGGTCTCACTCCCTACAGCCCTGCATAATTTATATAGTGTATATACGCCCCTGACTCCTATTTATCCAAGCTTGGTTAATTAAGAGTAAAGGGCAACAAGGATGGGGGGAGAGGGCGGGGGCAATTTTTTGCCCCCCCCCCCCCCACCATTTTCTTTCTTATTGGACAATCATAAAAACATTAAAAGTTTTTTTTTTCGTTTTTCTTATGTGCATATAATATGTTATATATCATTTTTCATTGGTGTCAAATTGGGAGTTTAGGGGCTTGGCTTTTAACTTTCAAGATTTGATAAAAAAAATCAATAGATTCGAATAGATACGATCTCACAAACATTAAACAGATATCATTATCAACATAATTTTTTTAACTCGACTTAGTATTGAAAAACTTTTATTGCAGACGTATATTGAATAAATATTGCAATTAGCTGGATACTAATACATGTTTTACAGATATTTTTACGTGATATCTTATCAAATTATTCTCTGAAGTTTGATCAAAATCTTTCAAATTTGAGACGCTTATCTTCTTTTATCAATTAACATCTTTAATTAGATTCATTCAGCGCAATTTTAAATACATTTATTAAACATAAAGAAGGGAAAAAATTAGTTTTGAAAGAAAGAGAAAGTTTTAATTGTGGTCATAAAACTTATTTTTTACCAAGATGGAAAATATATGTTATGATATGCAAAGAACCCTTTAAACGTAAAACGATCAACGATCGTTTTGTTTACGATTAACGAACTATCTTTAATTTAGAGATCGCCACTTTAACACTTGATGTCGATATCCAATGTGGGTACTTTTGAACTTTTGATTCCTCAATTAATGTATGACCACTTCTGAATATTGATGAGGAGTTAAATTGATTCGCAGGTCTAAATAAGATTCACAACACACAACAGTTCTGACCTTTGAGATGTCAGATATCTGCCGTGAGCATTTTATATATATATATATACATATACATATACATATATGTATAGGTATATGTATATATATATATATGTATATTTATACATAAATATATTTAAATATTTACAAACCTAATGATTTAATTTATAAATCATAAACTATTAGATATATTTCTACAGTAGAGTAATTTTGCTTACTTCATCTATTTAAAACTTCTTATGGCTGAATGCGTCTTTCAGTCTTATAAAGATTTATTTTTCATATGGTTATACATCTGATGAGGATAAGAAAATTAGTGCTTAAGGCGACTTATCAGTGTACTTTACTGTGTGAAACTTTTTTAACCAAACCCTAGAAAATATTTTACTAATATACTAACTTTTGTTTTGAAATAAAATCTTGTGGTCAGTTATTATAATCAGTTGATTTGTAAAGACCAGAAAAGTCGAAATTGGATACATTTGTAGATCATGACCTGAAAGCGTTCAGTTATTCCAAGTCGAGTTAAAAAAAAATATTAATTAAAGTTGAATATCTTTATGAATCTTTCAATATTAATTATATACGGCTCTTGTGGTACCAGTCAAACAAAAAATTGAGCTTTAATTTTTTTGAAGTTTTTCCCTTAGATACGTTGTTCTGATCTTTGGGTTATCATCTACAAAATTCTAGAAGTGACATATAACTATTCTGTCATATCTGTAAAATCTATGGTAGAGATAAGAATAATGACAGTTGAGAATTCATATTTTCATTTTACATAGTTCTAAAATTTATGAAATATGGTGATTATGAATTCAGTTTATATCAGACGACCCAAGTTCTAATAAACATCAACTTGTAAAATTAAAGAGTTAAGATGATTAAATTTTTCCCGGAAAATGTTTTTAACTATTTGATAAAAGAGCTCAAAGAGTAAGCACCATATTTCTACGGGGATTTCCATGTTGTGGTCTGACTGCTTTGTTTCTTCAAAATTTATGACAAAATTGTCAAAATTTTCTAATTAGAAGTTTTTTTTTTATGACGTTTAATTCATTTATTTATTGGAACACCTTGAATATTAATATTGTCAAGTTAAGAATTTCAAATATTTCAGATATTAAGTGTGGCGGGTTGAGTATTTGAACCGGGGAGAAGAGCGGGATCCTCGGAGCAGATTTATCCGTCCCTCCAGTTCAAACCTATACCCTGATCAATCCAACCCTCCAGTTTAAATCTAAACCCTGAGCAGTCTCGAACCCGGAAAGAGAATATGCGAACAGGGTTTTATACAATGAACCCCAAGTTGAATTAGAGCAAGATAAGTTTTGGATAATCCATCTGTTGAATCATGTATATAGATGGGGAGAAAAATGGCGGGTCTAATGTTAAGACGGAGAACGGAAAAAATCCTAATTGTGAAAAAGAAGAAGAGGAAGACAACCAACCCATTGTCCCGCCCCCAGACGGTGGCTGGGGTTGGGCTGTCGTCTTTGCCTCATTTATGATACATGTTATAGGTAAATATAGATTTTGTAAGCTTCCAGTTATATATCGGTTAGTACCATTCTCCTAATTTCTTTAAACTAAAATCTAATTTTTTTCCTTCACGATTTCGCACTAAAAATTCTGTTCCTGAAAACGAATAATATTGATGATTTTTCTAATGAAAAAAAATGGCACAAATACTATTTTTTACGGGCATTAACCACTATCTTACGAAATTTGTAAAAAATCCTTCCCAACCGTTAAATCCCTATTAGATGCCTGAGATTCAAGATTTTATTGTTTGTGTTTAGTTATATCTTCTTTCCACTCAGTTTAAGCTTACAAGTGATTGCAAATATTACTTTTTTAAATAGGGTTACCCTTAAATTAAAAGACTGCTCGATTGTATTAACATTAACAATTAGGATATCTGAGTGTTGAATAAGAATTATTTAGATCAAATTCTGTTAGATTACTAAATTCAAAATATTCTTTTAAGACGGAAGTGCATTTGATATTTGAAATCGTATTCTTTGTGCGGTACATTGAAGTTTTTTCTCTTTATGATCTATCCGACTTAAACATGAAAAAAAACCTTAATGCCTTAACCTTTTCTGTTTATTAAGTTTACTTCTAAAAAGTAAAATTTAATGCCGAGGACAAAATTCAACCTTCTGATCATCATAGTTATAGAGCTACTGGACGTCATATAAGTAGAAACTTATCTGGATATCTCTGTACGTCGATAACTATGAATCTTAAATACTTTTTTTCAGTTGTTAGCAAAACAACTTAAAAAGCGGTTTAAATAAAAAAATTTCAGATTTTTACGATTAAAATTGAAGACAACATATTCATGAAAGATATTTTTTCTTAAATGGCTTGCGTTTGCGTATCCTGTTTGAAGCGTTTGAGTATCATGTTTTCACTTTTTATGGGAATTGAGTCGTTGTGACCAAATCTGATTTTCTAATCTCTATATCTTTACAATCGTAGACCTTTGATAATTCTATCTTTGATTCTCATAGATCAAATAGTCTCAGATTTAAATGTTTAAGTCTTATACCACCGGGTTGCAAAATATACAGAATATCTGGATTCTCATAGATCAAATAGTCTCAGGTTTAAATGTTTAAATCTTATACCACCGGGTTGCAAAAAATAGGGACTTTAACATTTCAGTTTGTGGCAAAAACTTAATTTATTTATAATTTGTCTCAAAAACTGTGTTTAATTTTGCACTTAGTTCTGATCTACTTATGATCAACAATATACTTCCGTTCGAGCTGAGGAGTAATTGATCCAACTTGGGAGAGGATTGTATAGTGAATAACAGTGGTCTGTTATTTTTCACAACAAAACTATTTCTTGAAAAGTACTGCTAGGTCAGAATAAAATATAAACCTTTCATACCTGGGCCCTCTTTTAGTTTTTACTCCTTAGGCTTATGATAAAAAATGTGGTCTTATATCTGAATAAAATTGAACCACAGATATGCGTAAATATAATATTTATTTGTTTCAGCGGACGGAATTACTTATTCATTTGGGATCTTCCTGGTCGAACTTATCCGAGTATTTGATTCGGATAGAGGAGCAACATCTCTCATCCCATCCATCCTTGTAGGAGTAACACTTGGATCAGGTATACTCATCCCTCATCACATCAGATCCTAGTCGGAGTCACACTTGGATCAGGTATACTCATCCCTCATCCCATCCATCCTTGTAGGAGTTACACCTGAATCAGGTATACTCATCCCTCTCCCATCCATCCTAGTAGGAGTCACACCTGGATCAGGTATACTCATCCCTCATCCCATCCATCCTAGTAGGAGTCACACCTGGATCAGGTATACTCATCCCTCATCCCATCCATCCTAGTAGGAGTCACACTTGGATCAGGTATACTCATCCCTCATCCCATCCATTCTAGTAGGAATCACACCTGGATCAGGTATACTCATCCCTAATCCCATCCATCCTAGTCGGAGTCACACTTGGATCAGGTATACCCATCCCTCATCCCATCCATCCTTGTAGGAGTCACACTTGGATCAGGTATACTCATCCCTCATATCCATCCTTGTAGGAGTCACACCTGGATCAGGTATACTCATCCCTCATCCCATCCATTCTTGTAGGAGTCACACTTGGATCAGGTATACTCATCCCTCATCCCATCCATCCTAGTCGGAGTCACAATTGGATCAGGTATACTCATTCATCCCTCATCCCATCCATTCTTGTAGGAGTCACACCTGGATCAGGTATATGTATCCCTCATCCCATCCATCCTTGTAGGAGTTACACCTGGATCAGGTATACTCATCCCTCATCCCATCCATCCTAGTAGGAATCAGGTATCTCATCCCTCATCCCATTCATCCTTGTAGGAGTCAAACCTGGATCAGGTATACTCTTCCCTCATCCCATCCATCCATGTAGGAGTAACACTTGGATCAGGTATACTCATCCCTCATCCCATCCATCCTTGTAGGAGTTACACTTGGGTCAGGTATACTCATCCCTCATCCCATCCATCCTTGTAGGAGTCACACTTGGATCTGGTATACTCATCCCTCCTCTAATCCATACTAGTCGAAGTCACACTTGGATCAGGTATAATCATCTCTCATCCTATCCATCCCAGTAGGAGTCACACTTGGAACAGATATACACATTCATCATCCCATCTATCCTAATCTGCGTCATACTTAGATCAAGTATACTCATCCCTCATCCCATTCATCCTTGTAGGAGTCACACCTGGATCAGGTATACTCATCCCTCATCCCATCCATCCTTGAAGGAGTCACACTTGGATCAGGTATCTCATCCCTCATCCCATCCATCCTTGCAGGAGTCAAACCTGGATCAGGTATACTCATCCCTCATCCCATCCATCCTAGTCGGAGTCACACTTGGATCAGTTATACTTATCCCTCATCCCATCCATCTTAGTGGGAGTCACACTTGGATCAGGTATACTTATCCCTCATCCCATCCATCCTTGTAGGAGTTACACCTGGATCAGGTATCTTATCCCTCATCTCATCCATCCTAGTCGGACTCAAACTTGGATCAGGTATACTCATCCCTCATCCCATCCATCCTAGTAGGAGTCACACTAGGATCAGATACCTAACCTGAGTCACACTTGGATCTGGTATACTTATCCCGTGTACATTTTATATGACTTCTGATAGATCAAAAATTCTAAATTTGAATATATGATTATGTAATATCATAGGCTGGTTTACACCATCAGGTTGCAAAGATATAGGAATTAGAATATCAGCGTTTGTGGCAAAGTCTCAATTCTTTTGTCTAGTTTTGTGTCCTTATGTGCAATTTGAAGAAATAAATTTTAAAATACCTAGGTTTAAAACAAATTGTGTCGCCAATTTTCTTTCACATTAAGAATCTAAATGCTCTAAGCAGTAAAATAAAATTGAATTTAAATGTTTTCCGTTGTTTACTCTGCAATTCGAGCTCATGTTGACATTCTCATTCATTTCTTCCAAAAGAATTATTTGATAATTTCTTAAGAAAATTTTCTTTTCAAAAATTTGAAATAAAATACAAGTCTTTTTCAACCAGAAACTTAAATAATATTGAATAGAAACTTTCCTATATAATTGGCATGAAAAAGAAGAAAAAAGGGCAAAATAGTTAAAGAAGACAAGCAACATACGCTAGAGTTAACTTATATAGTACAGTGTACAGTGTACACTGTACACTGTACAGTGTACGCTGTGACAAGCGACATACACTAGAATTAACTTATATCAACTAAACTTGTATTATAACAATTCCGTAACGTGGTAAGAAAGTACTTGAGTCTTTGCCACAAACTCAAATTGTCTAATCCCTATATTTTCGCAAACTAATGGTGTAAACGTTTGAAATTTCAAACTTAGATTATTTGCTCTAACAGAATTCATAGTTTGAAATATCCAAGGTCTACGACATTTGGTTGCAAAAATATAGGGATTATAAATCAGATTTTGTGCCAAATACATAATTCCTTAAGTGAATTTTAACGCGGGTTCGAGGTTTTATGTATAGACGTTTTGTTTGATGTAAAAAACTGCATGTGCAGTGTGCATATACTATTGTTGTATTGTCTGTTTAGCCACCATACAGGCATATATAACTAGACCTAGTTTACGTACCACCATCATGTATGTATATAACTTGTTAATAATAAATATTCTGTATATTAATTATATCATGATTAAACATTGATTAATCCCATACCATGTTTTATTATTCGTTATAATTATTTTTCAGTCCATGTGGGGAAATTTCTGTTTTTGTTTAAAAACTAAATTTTTAAATGCATCTTTTCAAATAATTCAGGAAATAAAAAACCTGACAGAACTTTTTTAGCTTTATACGAAAAGAAGAATTATAGAGAAAGAACGAGGGGGGGGGGGGAAATTTTTTCCCCCCCCCCCCCCACCATTTTCTTTCTTATTGGACAATCATAAAAACATTAAAAGTTTTTTTTTTCGTTTTTCTTATGTGCATATAATATGTTATATATCATTTTTCATTGGTGTCAAATTGGGAGTTTAGGGGCTTGGCTTTTAACTTTCAAGATTTGATAAAAAAAATCAATAGATTCGAATAGATACGATCTCACAAACATTAAACAGATATCATTATCAACATAATTTTTTTAACTCGACTTAGTATTGAAAAACTTTTATTGCAGACGTATATTGAATAAATATTGCAATTAGCTGGATACTAATACATGTTTTACAGATATTTTTACGTGATATCTTATCAAATTATTCTCTGAAGTTTGATCAAAATCTTTCAAATTTGAGACGCTTATCTTCTTTTATCAATTAACATCTTTAATTAGATTCATTCAGCGCAATTTTAAATACATTTATTAAACATAAAGAAGGGAAAAAATTAGTTTTGAAAGAAAGAGAAAGTTTTAATTGTGGTCATAAAACTTATTTTTTACCAAGATGGAAAATATATGTTATGATATGCAAAGAACCCTTTAAACGTAAAACGATCAACGATCGTTTTGTTTACGATTAACGAACTATCTTTAATTTAGAGATCGCCACTTTAACACTTGATGTCGATATCCAATGTGGGTACTTTTGAACTTTTGATTCCTCAATTAATGTATGACCACTTCTGAATATTGATGAGGAGTTAAATTGATTCGCAGGTCTAAATAAGATTCACAACACACAACAGTTCTGACCTTTGAGATGTCAGATATCTGCCGTGAGCATTTTATATATATATATATACATATACATATACATATATGTATAGGTATATGTATATATATATATATGTATATTTATACATAAATATATTTAAATATTTACAAACCTAATGATTTAATTTATAAATCATAAACTATTAGATATATTTCTACAGTAGAGTAATTTTGCTTACTTCATCTATTTAAAACTTCTTATGGCTGAATGCGTCTTTCAGTCTTATAAAGATTTATTTTTCATATGGTTATACATCTGATGAGGATAAGAAAATTAGTGCTTAAGGCGACTTATCAGTGTACTTTACTGTGTGAAACTTTTTTAACCAAACCCTAGAAAATATTTTACTAATATACTAACTTTTGTTTTGAAATAAAATCTTGTGGTCAGTTATTATAATCAGTTGATTTGTAAAGACCAGAAAAGTCGAAATTGGATACATTTGTAGATCATGACCTGAAAGCGTTCAGTTATTCCAAGTCGAGTTAAAAAAAAATATTAATTAAAGTTGAATATCTTTATGAATCTTTCAATATTAATTATATACGGCTCTTGTGGTACCAGTCAAACAAAAAATTGAGCTTTAATTTTTTTGAAGTTTTTCCCTTAGATACGTTGTTCTGATCTTTGGGTTATCATCTACAAAATTCTAGAAGTGACATATAACTATTCTGTCATATCTGTAAAATCTATGGTAGAGATAAGAATAATGACAGTTGAGAATTCATATTTTCATTTTACATAGTTCTAAAATTTATGAAATATGGTGATTATGAATTCAGTTTATATCAGACGACCCAAGTTCTAATAAACATCAAAATTTTACGCAATTTACTGGTTAAAAATAAGCCAAACTGCACCCGCTTTGAATTAGATTTATTTGCGAAATGAGAAAGTTGGCAAGGTATAATTAACCTTTCAGCAGAAGGAAAATATTATATAACTTGACTTATAATCTTTTAAAAAAATCATGTTTTAAAAAACTTAACCCCCATCAAGGTTCAACTGCAACATATATATATTATATATACTTGTCAGTTTCTTTTGTTTCTTTGTATTAAATTAAACGTTAAAACAGCTGAACCGATCCATCCTGGTATGATATAAAAATACGAACTAGGAGACATTTTTATTGTAAATACATAATAATAATCTAAATATCTTCTTAGTTCGTTTGAAGCCATTAGACATAAACAATTTTAATTTAATATTTAATAATATGTTAAGATTAAGTAATTAATTAAGTTTACCCTGACATATTTATCAAGAGTATGTTGAAAAGTATTAAAAAGAATTTGTGCAATATCTTAAAGGGACTGTAAACGTAATTTCAAGTGACCCTCCATTGATTAAGTGGAATGTCCGATTCAGAATAGTACCCATAAAGGTTTTGCCTGATCAAGTATGAATTTAATATCCATGTTTTTGTTTCTGTTTATTTTCATTTTTGGTTTTTGTGAAAATGACAATTGCATATTTTTTGCTTGTTTTTTTTTCCTCAGAATTAAACACTGTTTAAGCTGCGAAATCTTCCGCATTTTTAATCAGATTAAGGTTTCAAGGGTACCGTTGTTGTAAATTCAAAATGTTTCTCTCTAAAAGTTATAACTCTGATGGAATATAAATGCAAAAAGTGCTAGTTGCTAATTTCTTTTCAAGCAAAATACCTGATATTTTGATACCAAAAGGTCAAATCTTTGCAAATCTAGTGTGCATAAAAATTCTTGCTAGATCTCACTTTTGCAGCAAATTTATTTAAGATAAAAAGGGGATACAAACATTAACACTTAGATTTCCCCACTGCCTTTTAAGTTTAGTCAATTTATAAACATAATTTTTAAATGTAATTTTCTGTATAAAGGAAAATTAATAGCACTGTCAGTCTAGCTTAAAACTTATAAACCTATGTGTGGTAGTATATCATGAAATGTGTGGAATTCTTAAGATCTTATCATTTAATGTTTTTTTTCTTTGTTGTAATTCTGCAGCAAGATAGTATCTGCAGCAGTGCAGGTGTATTGATTTAGAAACAAGAAACATGGTTCTTTTCATCATTAATATTTATTTAAAGGAACTGTATAGTTGCAATTTTGTAAATGACCCTTCATTCATGGACAGTGTTTTTAAATTATAAGAATACAGAATACTTTTGTGTCTGTTATTGACCTAAATACATTAAAAATGATCCAAACCATTTTGTTCTTATTGAACACCATTACGAAGAATTATGGATTAGATAAAATCAAATGGAATTTAAACAACTATTCAGACTTTCTTTTATATGTCGCAATTTTTTATTTTTTAAACCTCGCTTTAGATTTTTTAATAATAAATTAATTTTCTTTTCCGCATTTCCAATAAATGTAATATTTTAGGACCGATTACTGCTTCATTTACGAACAGATATGGGTGCCGAGCAGTCACGATTGCTGGCGCCATCTTGGCATCAGCTGGTCTTGCACTTTCAACGCTTTCCAACAGTATTGGAGTACTTTACTTTACTATTGGAGTTTGTACAGGTAAAAGTTGTTTAATTGATAGTTAACAATTTAAATTTAATTACTTTCTTGCTTTTTTTAAAGTTCAAACAGAAACAAAACCAATTTTTTTTATCGGAATTTGCGACTAAATCAAGTGAGGAAATATGTATTGTGGTTTCCTACGCTTGTTTGGTTTGTTCTACAGTATGACCCATACACTCTGGAACAAGAATACGATAGTTACCAATTTTATGTGTATTTGATGTTGTTGTAATGCAGTAAATGTAAATTAATCTGAGGCCGAATTTAAAGAATTTGAGCGGCGGCTTAAATTTAAACCGTGGCTCAAATATGATTGGTTCCACTTAAAATTGTATTCAGTTTTTCAAGATTTAAGCCGGCGTTCAATTGAAACCGGTTTGTGGGTGATTAGAGACACGGCTTAAATTCATTAAATTCGGACACAGTAGACTTAAAATCAATTTATTAAGTAAAATGGGTGTGTGTACACTGTACACTGAAAAAATTGCTGTGTTTCAAGGTCATTTTGGATTATTTAAAAAAGAATTAATTGTAATTAAAAATCAATTGTATTCGAAATTTCAAATTGATCAATTTCAACAGATTTTTCTACTGAATTTAACTTAAAATTGGTTATATCGGATTTTGTATGTTTTGTAAAATATTAAAATGACCAATTTAGACGACAGAACTTATGAGTGTTTACTGATGTTTATTGTACCTAAATATCAACTGCGGAAAATTTTATACGTTTTTAAGGAAAAACTCTAAATTCAGCCTTAAAAGGCATTATTCTGCCGATTCCTAATCTACCTAATAGATTTACTGTAATTATTATGTATAACACAACCACAGAGCCCAAAACTTAAGACGGAGTATCATTCTGAAACCCAGTTTTATGAATGGGGTCTGGCAGTTTTGTAGATACAAATACTTCTGTTAATTAAGAACTATTGTGGTTTCTTTACGTTTTCTGTTTTGTTTACTGATTTCTTAAATAAAAATCTACGCAAATGTATGGACCCCAAAAAGAAACGCGAGTTTTTTTTATTTCTGGCTCCGGGCAAAAAAAAATAGTGCACATATGTAATGAAATCACCATTTTGTAAACCAAACAATAATTTGAAAAAGTAAAATTGTACAGTGTTGAAAGATGAGCAATAGCATTACACAAAGGTTACAGATCATGAAAAATATTAAATACTATTAGTGTAAATTTTTCTTAGAACATAATAAAAACAGAAACATTTTTTGTTTTTCTTCAAAGGAACTTAGTCTTTGCCAAAAACTCTAAAGGAATTGAGTCTTTGCCACATACTCTGATTTTCTAATCACTATATCTTTGGAACCAAATGTTGCAGACCTTAGATATTTCAAACTATGAATTCTGTTAGATCAAATATTCTGAGTTTGAAATAACAAAGGCTTACAACATTGAATTCTAAAGATATTGAGGTTTAAATATTTGATTTTGTTCCGAAGACTCAATTCCTTTCTAATTTCTACATCTTAGCCACCTGATGGTGTAAATATTTGACATTTCAAAATTATATTATTTGATCTCACAGTTTCTAAATTTTGAAATATCTAAGGTTCACGACGTCATGTAGCAAAGATATAGAGATGAAAACGGAATTTCTTTAATAAAAACCGAAATTACCTAAGTTTAACTGTATTAAAATCTGACAATATCCTGATTCCAGGTCTTGGGTTCGGCTTGATCTACCTACCAGCAATTGTAAGCGTGTCTATGTACTTTGAGAAGAAGAGAGCTTTTGCAACTGGGATAGCAGTTTGCGGTTCAGGACTTGGGACATTCATCATGGCACCCGTCACTAAAGGGTTAGTTTACAAAAGTTTTGCTTCATACATTTGTGGTGACGCATTTAAATCTGTTCATAACGTGGTCAGTCGGTTCCCCTGGCGTTAATTTATGGTGTCGGATCCGGACACAGCTGCGTTTTTCGATTATTCGACTTACGAAATCCGCTATACTCCACTTCTGACCTGAGCAAATCCGATATACTCCACTTCTGACCTACGCCAAATCCGTTATACTACACATCCGACCTACTAGCACGTGGTTTTACAGTTGCCATATGGACTTGTTGCCGCAGCGCCCGGCCCCTTAGAAGTCTGTCCTAGCCGCAGCGCTCGGCCCAGAAATTGTCTTAACCTAACCTAACCCTCAAATAATAAAAAAATAAACAGCTGGCATAGGTCCGATATTGCGGTAGGTCGGAAAAATAGTAGGTCAGAAGTTCAGTAGGGGGATGTTGTGTATAGACGATGTAACATTACCGGTACCCATTTTTCATCTCATTTGTTAAAGGGAAAGTAGATGTAATTTTGAAGTAAACTCCCTCCATGAAACCATTGTGTGCCTGATTTAAATCCGTTGCATTTTTATCCGAGCAGCATTGAGAAATTGAGAAAGTTATTTTCTTTCTTAAAAAATGTTGAATTCTAACCCTAATTCCATTTTTGATTTTAGCAAGTTTTCTGTTGGAGAACACTAGATGAAAAACTTAATAAATATTTTATCTAACGAGAGTTTTGAGGGTACCGTTGTGAATTTGACACGAAGACTCACTTTAGTCCCATTAACTTTCTCTTATGTCATATTCTGCAATTCTTGGAATTAAAATTAAATCCTTTATTTATAAAATTATTTAGGGGAGTTCAGTTTATGTGGCTAAGCATATTCCCGATCAAATGTATTAGCCTCTAACATAAAACAAACTAAATTAAATATATACACAAAATGATATCATCTGAATGAATACACTTCTCCAATTCTAGCTGTGTGGTAGAGTAAAGGAGTAGAAATAAATATTTAAAATAAAATGTGAGCGCGGTCTCTTATATGCTGACTTTTAGGAGATAATTTACCTTTTTTCCCACCTTGATTTATAGATCTTACTTTCTGCAGGGTGAATCAGAATTAATGGAATACTTTTTACAGAAGGTATCAGAATATATGAACTACCTTTTTTGGTGTATCAGAGTAAAAGAACTATCTTTTTGGTCTATCAGAATTAATAAATTACTTTTCTAAAGAGAGTATCAGAAATTATAAATTATTTTTCAAATGGGTGTATCAATATTTAAAAAAAAATTTTCTTCAGCGGTGTCAAATTAATAACAACTGTTATACAGAGTGTATCAGATTTCATAAACTATACTTTTCTTCAGAATGCATTAGACGATATTAAATACTTTATTCAGGGTGTACCAGAATGCATTTTATATTTTTTTATTGGAAAACACTTTCACATGAAAGGATTTTGTGTTCTTTAAATCTGGGATAAGATCTGTACTAAAACCTTGTATTGTACAGGTTGATAAATCAGTTTGGGTGGAAGGGTGCAATGCTGATAACTGCAGGACTTATCCTTAACTGTATCATATTCGGAGCAATGTTTAGACCTTTACAGCCTAAATCTAAGAAAAAGGTGAGAATATAATTATAGAATTCAGATCTACAAATTAGTCCCCCTTCTCTCCCATTTTATAGAAAGGGTTCAACGTTAAAGAAAATATACATACACTAACTTTTCAAAAAAATTTCTCTATAAAGCTTATATTCCCGTGGTTCTACCGAGTTTCCTATCAAAATTTGAGGCAAATCAGTGAAGGGGTTCGTTAGATATGTTAGGACATCAAAACAAACAAACAAACAGAGATACATTTCTACTTGATATATATGTATACTTAGATATAAAAACACACAAAAAATAACTACACAAATGAATTTGTTTTCAAAAACAAAATATTTTATTCAATCATTATACATAAATTTTAATTCATGTTTAAAAAAAACTTATTTTATAATTGCTTAGTCATGACCACCCGCAACTCATTAATGAATTGAACTAGTCTTTAATCTGTTTGAATCCAAAATTGTTGTTTTTCCTCGAATTACGTCTTAGATTTAAGAATTTAATTTATTGAGAGGAGAGCTAGGAAAGTCAAGCTGGCGTTTTACTGCGTTGTCATGACTGCACAAATACGAGGGGGAATTTTTATTAATGTCAGTTTTAACACTTTTGAAGTTCATCTTTGCTTCAAAAACGTAGAAACGTTTCTACGTACAGGGTGTCCTTTTAATCTTGACAATTTTAAATTGTCTGTATTTTTGTCCTTTCTTGGAATGTTTAATTTGCTAAAAAAACATGGACATTTTGTAATAAGAAAAGAAAATCTGTATTTATCCATGTTAAACTTGCTGACATCCAGTTTGTACCCACCAAACAGAACTGGTTGTCACAGTGGAGTTAAACTCTGCAATAGTCCTGCCATAACTGGGTGTAACTATACCGACTTTTAAACCAACTTGCAAACTGGGATTTAAAAAGTTCAGCAATTAAGTCGTGTTTTTCCCACTAGATTACGCCCAGTTAGTGAGTGCACTTCAAAATTGGTTCAACGTCGGTTTTAACACCCAGTCATGTTACCACTATTGCACGGTATATTCAAGCTAAACCCTAATTAGAGGTTTCCTATAGCAGCAACGGGTTTATTCCATGCTTAGCATCGATTTTACTAACTTTAGCATTGCTTACTAGAAGGATTATCGGTTATACTAACTTTAGCATCACTAACTAGAAGGATTATCGATTATACTAACTTTAGCATCACTAACTAGAAGGATTATCGGCTATACTAACTTTAGAATCACTAACTAGAAGGATTAACAAGCTTTGTTGAAACCATTTTAAACACTAGTAAAAGTCCCAGCTCATGGAAAAGTTAAAGTTGAAAATGCTGAATTGTACATACTGAATTTGTGCATTCTTGACATTAATATTTGCGTATTGTTTTGGTGAAAAATAAAATATCTATAAAATATTGCCAAAAGTAAAAAATTGACGGTGCTTTAGCCATTTGCAAATTGTTAAGATTATGATTATGTAATTTCGTAACCTTTTTTTCATTACATAAACTTCAGATTATTTTCGGGAAAGATTTTAAACATCAAATTATAACCCGAGGGATAAAGGTTTTCAGATGAAATCTAAAAATACATTTTAATAAAAATCTTCTAGGATAACAAGAAATAAACAGAAAAAGAGCTTCACAAATAGAGGAAATAGCATTTACGGAATAATTTGAATTCGGAAATATATACACATAATCTGAAGAATATTGATAATATTTGCACTGTGCAAACTCTTCAAGAAGAATCTGATCAAATAAAATATAAATATAAACCTTTTACAATTCTTTATGCAATTTGATATTTATATATTGCATGCCGAGGAACAGGAGTTATGTAAATTGTTTCCAAAATGATTATTAATACTTCTGGAAGAGTTTAAAGAAAGGAACACTCTTGTTTAACTTCTATTATATGTTTCTGTAAACTGACGCCTCTCTTATCAAACTATGAACTTTGTCAGATGAAACAGTCAAAGTTTGAAATATCAAAGGTCTACTACCTCTGGTTGCAAAGATATATATTATATAAAGATATTCACAACAGTCCTTTTTAACTTTTCTCTGATCAAGGACGATTGATCCTTTTTTAAAATTTACTTTAGTTTGACGTGAATTCAATAGGTTCCTACAAAAGACTACAAGATCTTCTATATTGTTTCTTAGATAGAGGACTAAAGGGTACCGTTGTGAATCGAACACTATTTAAATGAAGGGTACCTTGCAGTTACGTCTTCTATTTCTTTAAATGAAGAGTACCTTGAAGTTACGTCTACAATTTCTTTAAGTTGCTGATGGTTGAGGAGGGTAGTGAGGGGAAGGTACTGCTTGAGAATAATGGAAACTACGCACATCCAATACAAAATGGCGGAGCTCCGGTAAGTTTTGATTTTATATCAATGTTGCATTTAGTAATTAATTCTGTGATTTAAAATCTTCAGGAGGCCAACATTTAAAAAAAAAATCCAACTTGTCATCACTTGCTTTAAATCTATATAAAAACAAGACATTCATATATATATATGTTGCCTATTGCCGGCCAAACGGCTGGACCGATTGGGCTGAATTTTTTTGTGGACACTAAGGGGTGGCCGGGGGGTGTTAAAGGTTAAAAAATATTCAAAACTTTGTTTTCAAAAAAAATGTTTAAATTATTTTTTTTCTAATTTTTTTTCTACTGGCAAAGCATGACCCTTCAGCTAGATATCTATAAAATTACAAGAAGAAAAAATAATTGATTAAGATTTTTATGTTAACTTTTTATTCATCATGAAAATCTATAGTTTTGTTTTCAAAACTTAACGTGGAATAAAAATTGGCAGCAATGCCAAACACAATACATAAGAACAAAGATAAAGAGCTACATGTCCAAACTATATAGGTCCCCCGCGTTGTTTTTCATTAATGTAAATAATGTAAATAGCTAAATTTTGTTAATTGCCTTACTGCACTCTTATGCATAAACCTCAATTGAAAACTATCAATTTTTAAAAAGAAAAACAAAGATTTTTGTTCGAAAGGTCGTTGTGAATCCTGCAGGCATTTCTTTAAATGAAGAATCACTTGAAAGTATGTCTACATCTCCCTTTCAGTAATTTTCCGTTAACATTACAGTCTTACAGACTAAGAATTCAATATTCCGAATATGTAATTTTCCGTTAACATTACAGTCTTACAGACTAAGAATTCAATATTCCAAATATGTAATTTTCCAAATTATTTTGCCAATACTTGTACAGGGACATAAAAAGGAATCAAAGAGGGGTAAATAACATGAATATTCAAAAATTCTAAAAATATAATGTTAAATGTTTATTGTTAAAGTTTAATGAAGGAAGGTCGATAATTAAAGAATGTTTGAAGTCTGAAAACTGCTTCAACCGAATTTGAATGGAGCATTGAAGTTTAAACAATTTCGAAAAAATATTAATGCCTGTAAAATCAATTTTAGCAGAACGAATTTGACTTTAAAAAAACAAACAAATATTTTTAAAACCCATGAATAATAAAAAATAAAAACATGTTAATTTATGTATTTAAAGATATCTAAGGATGTCTAAGGCCGTTAATTATGGTACTTTTTGAGTTCTTTAGTTTAATTTCCCATGCATTTGTATGCTATTCTGGTTGAACAAGTGAAATTTTCAAAATCGACCTCCCTGCATATGTTTCCTTATAGTTTTCTTTATTACAAAGCATAGGTTTTTTGTATAATCTCGAAATCAGGATATTTTACGTTTTCAACTGCATGCAATAATAGATTTACGATATTTGTTGTTTAAATGTTAAATGTCTAAGCGTGTTTTTATCTGAATCCAGGAGTTGCAGGTTAACGGTGAACCTGTCCCACCCATGAGACCGTTCGCTGAGCAGACAGGGATGAACGGGAAGTACAACGACATGACCCGGTTCACCATGTCCCACCCCGCCCACCTAAACCAGGCAGAGAGTAAACCTAGGATACATTTTGGAAGCCACGCCCATTTTCAGGTATGCCCTCTAAGTACTCAGCTCACCCCCCTCTCTCAAGTTTTTCTGTGTTAGGTTTTAAGTTGCCTAAAATGTGACCTATTTACCCGTGTGTTAGTACATATGTTTCCAAGTACTATTTATTGCATGTGTTTAAACAAATACAGATGGGAGAAAGTCAAATATATTAGATAAAATGTATAAAATACCCACTTCAACAAAATATCGAACCCATCATGGGAGGAACAGAATAAACTAGTATTTAAACACGTTGAAATCTTTTTATAACAACACTTTCATCATTGACTTTGCGTTCCAAACTTCTAACTTGATTTCTTTGTTTTATTTATTGTGAGAATTAAATGTTTTTCTTAAGTTTTTTTCGCAAAGTACTTAAAAAAAGTACTTACATTAAATTAAAAATGTATTGAGGTTAAATTAAAAAGCATGATTCAGATTTTCATTTGAAAGATATTTCTCATTCTTGGAAGCAGATATTAACTTAAGCTAACGGACAAAGGAATTGAGTCTTTGTCACAAACTATCCCTATATCTTTTCAACCTGATGAAACCTATAATTTTCCAACTTAGATTGTTTGATCTAACAGAATGTATAGTTTAAAATATCTAGGGTCTAGGACATTGGGTTGCAAAAATATAGGGATTAAAAACTCAGAGTTTGTGGCAAGGTTTCAATTCCTTACTCATTCAGGCCAATATCAGTTTTTTTTCGGAAAAAAAGTTCCACGGGTTAAACCCCTAACTTTAAACATTGATGTAACTGTATAGCGTATATAATATATATATCGGTGGATGAACTTTAGTCTTCAGAATCTCTTGTTTCATTTCTATCTACACTTTCACGACTGACTTGTGATTTTAAGTTTATTTTTTGCACAGGCTATGAACACAATACACGAATGTGTTTTGACAATTAGAAAGCTTTACAAACAATTGAATAAGCGTGGTCATTGTTCAATTTAAAAATAAAAAGTTCAGGCAAACATTGCTTAATCTGCTCTTCATGCCAATTAATTACAGGAACTGAAGACGTAGTTTAAAGTGAGCCTCTATTTATAGATGGAATTTCGTCATCTCAACAATACCTTATATATATCATTGTCTGATCATCAATAAAAGATTAATCCTAGTTTTTTTAGCTTAAAATATTAGGGTTTTTATAAAAGTGACTTGAAATAGAGACAATAAAGAAGATTATAAGAATTGAAAACTTTTGAAGATAAAACAAATGATAATATTTTCCTCATTGTTTCTCAGATAAGAGTTTAAAGGTTGCCGTAGTGAATTTGAAAAAGAATTTTTCCTTTAATTAATGGGTCACTTGAAATAAAGTCAACATTCCCTTTAAGCATGTTCAACTAATAATCATAATTTTATGTTCAGGGATTAAAAAGTAGGAGGGGGTCCAGAGATGAGGGGACAGGTGTTATGAATAGAAAGGATATTCTGTATGGAGGTTCACTACTAAATATACCAGAATACAAGTAAGTAAAACATCTTTAAAAATTAATATTTATATATTTTTTTATTTTTCGTATATGATTTAGAAGAGTTTTTTTTATAACTTTGATTTGAAAGGAATTGAGCCACAAACTCTGATTTTCTAATTACTATATCTTTGGAACCAAATGTTGCATACCTTAGATATTTCAAACTATGAATTCTGTTAGATCAAGTAATATGAGTTTGAAATTTCAAAGGTTTCCAACATCGAGTTCTAAAGATATTGTGGTTTAAATATTTGATTTTGTTCCAAAGACTCAATTCCTTTCCATGTTTTTTTTTCTATTTGTTGAATATTTTCTGTTGGAAACCTTATACCTAGTATTCTCTTTATATCAAGTTCTGTGCTGACGTATATAGAGATACAGAGATAAATATTATTCAGAGATAATTAGGTTCCAGGATCCGGGAATCAACCTAATTAAGAAACTGCTCTTTTAGATAAACATTTACTGATTTTTCAGATATTTTCTTTTCTTCAGATTCATTATTCCATAGAGAAAGTACGCTCTCTGTTGGTAAAATATAAAATACTAAAAAACCTTCAGTAAAAACAAAAAGTAGAAGAGTATTTAAAATTAAAGCGAACCTAAATGACCATTGCTCTCATGGTTTCGGGAACTTGTCAATTACTCCTTCTTTACTAATTCATTGAGAGTTTTAACAATTACCTATTAAATTAAAAGGACAAGGCGTTGCAACACTTTAAAGTCAACCCAACCTACCAACCCAACCTACCAACCCAACCTACCAACCCAACCTACCAACCCAACCTACCAACCCAACCTAGAAAATTCATNCCCAACCTACCAACCCAACCTACCAACCCAACCTACCAACCCAACCTACCAACCCAACCTACCAACCCAACCTACCAACCCAACCTACCAACCCAACCTACCAACCCAACCTACCAACCCAACCTACCAACCCAACCTACCAACCCAACCTACCAACCCAACCTACCAACCCAACCTACCAACCCAACCTACCAACCCAACCTACCAACCCAACCTACCAACCCAACCTACCAACCCAACCTACCAACCCAACCTACCAACCCAATCTAGAAAATTCATGCAACTTTTCAGAACAGTCTGAAGCTATGTTATTTGTTAGATGTACAAATGTTAGGGGAGAACAACGAACTGGAAAAAAATTTGCAATTCGTATTACATTAATAATCCTAAAAAATTTTAAGAAAAAAAGGAAAATTTTTTTTTGATTTCAAAACATTTTTCTTCAAAATTGATTTATTCTCCTCTCAAAGTAATTTATTTTCCACAATTTACCGATATCCCATCAGGGGGGGGAGTTAAGAAGTGTTCAACAAAATATATACACCCCTGTTCAATATCCCATCATAGTAAGAGAGGGGGGGGGGAGTTAAGAAGTGTTCAACAAAATATATACACCCCTGTACAATATCCCATCATAGTAAGAGAGGGGGGGGTTAAGAAGTGTTCAACAAAATATATATCCCTATACAATATCCCATCATAGCAAGAGGAGGGGGGGTTAAGAAGTGTTCAACAAAATATATATCCCTGTACAATATCCCATCATGGTAAGAGGAGGGGGGGTTAAGAAGTGTTCAACAAAATATATATCCCTGTACAATATCCCATCATAGCAAGAGGAGGGGGGGTTAAGAAGTGTTCAACAAAATATATATCCCTGTACAATATCCCCCACCCTAAACTGTTAAGTGAGTAGACTGCTGTTTTTGCCTTGGATAATCACACTATTAAGTCCCAGGGATCAGATTCTTAGCCAATAAAGCTGAAAATATAGAAGCATATCTACTATTTATTTCTTTTTTACCACTTATATATATTTCACAGTAATCTAGCCTTTATTTTCTAACCGATTTTTAACCATTAATTACTGATTTCTCGTACTAACTCTATTAAATTGTTTTTGGCGGGCTTTGCGTTTTTGTTTGATAGATTTTTATTTTCGACAGTAAATTCTGAAGTCCGGGCATATTCTCCCAAAGCTAGTTTTGTGTGATCCATATACATCAACATAAAAAGTTACGAGAAACATGTATCTTCCATAATTTTAAGAAGTAGAAGTCTAAAAGTTTAGAAGAATATTCTCTGATTGAGTTTAGGAGATTCAGATTAAAGCTTTACTTTTTATACTTTTAATCTAAATATGAAATGATTAAAAATCCTCTTTTTATCAAAAATAATCTTTTCTTGCGACCTAAGGTTTTTAGTGGACTTTATTTTAATAACAAATTTGTGTTTTTATTCTTTTAAAGGTACCCTCCCTCTCACATAACACATTTTCTGAAAATTACTCTTCAGTAAGTTTAGTGTTTAATGTTTATCTTACTGTAAACGTTTAAATTAACAAAGTTGGCTAAAGTAAAAAATTAAAAATCGTATATTTAACCCGGATCGATTGGAATTACATTTATTTCGATATGATTTTTCTGTAATGTGTATTCTAAATACACTGTTTTTCAGACTTTTTTCTAGCAGCTCTGGGCTTAGCTGATATTTTGCTACCTGTCATATCAAATTAATTCCCATCTATTCATGATATATGGTTCATATGTCACAGTTACATCCGGTTCATTTGAAGTACCGTATCGGCTTTTAGGCATTTCTGACAAGTTTTGCAGTAAATGTACGGACTGTATGTACACGGGGCATTATAACAAAGGAATTATCTCCTTTTTGTGAGATTCTTGTGATCTGTCGTCTTCCATTTTATCTCGGACACCCCAGCTGTAGAACAGGCCTTTAAAAATCCCAACTGAGGTGTTTTTCCCGTAAATTAAACTTTGATGTTTAGGCGGGATCCCCAGGGATACAGGAGATCTATCCAGAACCTACCTGAGGATGCAGAGTATCCAGGTACTCAGGAGAACAGGATCTGCTGCTGCACTGTCTCTCCTGCTCAGGCCAGGTCATTCAACCAGATGGCGGACTTCAGCCTTTTCAGGTCTGTCAGCATATTTTTTTAGGTCTTAATAACTTTAAAGTTTTGTTACCCTTTTACCTTTATTGGAAAACTTTCTTCCTAAAACCACTTTACCCGCAAAACCATTTTAAAACCTGCAATTAACACCTCAAACAATTAAAAACATATTTTCTAGACCATACGGGGTGGAATTAATTTGAACTTGTTACAAACGATCACACTTAATTAAAATACCTTTCTTTAAAAATGTATTAAAAATGTATATGAAGGCTGGTTTAATAAATTATCAATGTATTTATTTCTTACTTTATGAAAAAGAATAAAGAACACACTGCATGTTCGTTTAATTTTAAAGTTTATATATTTAAAGGAGCCCAAATAAACATTATGTAAAATATAATGATGTTTTATAATATGTAATCAATAAAAGGCGTAACCCGTAAAAGTGAGAGAATGGGGGGGGTAGTTGAGGGAATGGGGTTGAGAAAGGAAAGATTATTTAAACGAGGTAAGGAAGATACTTGAAGGCTGGGTGCGGGAATGTTTAAATATCCCGGCAAAGCAGGATACCCAAGCTATATTTTTATATTCCAGGGATCCTGTGTTTATCATGTATGCTGTCAGCAACTTCCTCACTAGCATAGGATTCAACGTGCCTTACGTTTACACCGTGGTAAACATTTTTATACATTCTTCGGAAAATATGAAAACAAGGAAATATGCAAAGTTTACTTTAGAAATAAACTTTAGAAACTTTTAAATTCAAATTTTAGATATACTTCCGGATGGTTTCGTATTAATTTATATGTTGCGGATTTGTTGCCTTCTTAAATATATATGTTTTACTCATATTTAAAATGCCGTGCGCTGATACCATGTAATAGACCATCTTTTTCCAAAGCTCTGTATCTTGGTTTAAAGAATTACATATCTTAGGATCGAGCAATCTTGTGGGGTATGGACCCTGAGAGTGCTTCCTTTCTTCTCTCCGTGATCGGGATCGCTAATACGATCGGTAGGATCATTCTGGGATGGATCGGAGATCAAGGATGGGTTAAAAGGTTATTAACTATCTTTTAAACACGCTGATCTAAGTTTCTTAAAAAATTATATTATTATTATTTCCAAAATGTAAACACTGATTTTGATTTTTCTTAGATTGTACATCTACAACTTCTGTCTTGTACTTTGTGGTATAACTATGGGGCTTAGTGTGTTCTGTACAACATACACTACTCAGGTAAATATGTATGGTTCATGTACCAGTTTAATGTACTTTTATATTTCTAATCTAATAAATGTTGAAAAAATGTATCTCAACGTTTTGATTCACACGTTTAATCTATGTACATATTGTATACATTTGGATTCATCTTTAAAAGTTTTAAGACCTTAAAGAAGATCCAAAAAATAGAATGAACACTTAGCTTCCTTCCTTTTCATTTTGTCTAACCTAGAATCAATAATATTGATTTTTGAAAAATTCAAAAAGCTATGTTTGCCTATAATAATTCTAAATAAACATGCTTTATCTTACAGTGATAGCCATTTTTTAGGTAATTAAAATACAGAGAGCAACAACCGAAGAGGTTTTTTAATAAAAGTAGTGTTCCAAATATAAATTACTAAAGTTAAAAGCCAAAAGGTTTTGTTCCGGGATGCTGGATTTGTCGATCTACCGAACAATCCAGAGATGATTTCAAGCGAGTAATTACCCCAGAAGAAATTCTGCGTCGGATAATTTTTCGGAATGTTTCCCGTTAAGACCGATAACCAGAAAACGAACGAACGAAAGTGAAATGGGTCTGTTAACACTGTACAATTCGCTGTGTGCCATACTCATTTGACTATTTAAAGTCATAACTTGAGTCTAAAAGTCGTCTTCCTATTTCAGAGTTTTCTGGTTATCAATGTACTATCTACAATTTGTGTATAGGCGATGTACTGCGCTGTGTTTGGTGTGACTAGCGGAGCATATGTCGGGTTGACCAGCGTAGTTCTTACTGACCTCCTCGGCCTAGACAAACTCACTAACTCATTCGGACTTATTCTATTCTTCCAGGGGATTGCTTCCGTTATGGGACCTCCGGTTATAGGTAAATATAGTGTCCTAGAATGTCGTCAATGAGTGGCTTTGAGGTTCCTGTTCCGGGTATTACATGGACACACAGTTAGGCCAGTGTTTTTTAGTTGTCATACACTTGACAGTACTCACATTGGACTAACCAAAGCTAAAAACTTTTGGTTTCCTTAATTTGAATTCCATCGCGTCTTCTACAATACAACAATGTTTAAATTAAGAGAATTATATTTTTATAATTTTTCATTTAAAAAAGAATCCGCCAAAAAGATAAAAGAGTGTAACAGAACGAACGCGAAAATTATGTTTAATTGATCAATTTGTGATCGAAGGTCACGCAGTATGTTGTTTGGCTTTCCATGATAATTTTTGAATATATTTACCTCAAAAGAGATTTAGCATTTTTAGGAATAAAATCTTGATGGGTTTATGTAATGAGAAACCAATGTAAATTTGTTTCCCTAGGGACAATCTAGAATGAATTATTCAATAATACTCGACTATAATTTATTAGTAATGGTACTTTCATAAAGGCATTTTCCCAAGTGTCAACTTCCCAAATGTGAAATTTCCAGTCTTTCCTATCTACAGCGCTCTGCCCCAATTGCAGCCTGCAGAGCCTCAGAAGGCTTGCCTAACCTTAAATGTACATTTGGGAAGTTGCAGCTTGGGAAGTTGCAACTTGGAAAATTGTCACTTGGGAAAATGTTTTTTGGAAAGTACCTAACACTAAAATTTATCATACCAATTACCTATTACAAATTTAATGTTATTCCCCTGATCTACAACGATGTCCAGAGAAGGGGTGTTCTGTTGTGTACCCTCTTGTGCTATTTCATCATTTCTCATTTAAGAATTTTTTTTGTGGTTTTCTGAATTTTGTGGTTTTAAACATGACATAACAGACTTTATTTTTTGCTGTTGTTTTTCATCTAATTTATCCTTTAAAGGTTTTAACAGTTAAATAAGCTCAGTCAATTTAATAAGAGGTTTAGTCTACGAAACTTTAAATAACAACTTTAATGTTTAATATATAATTTAATTAAACCAGCAGCAACAAGATTTAATAATTTTGAACTCTGGACTTCAAAATTAAATTCTATTTTCCTCGAACTTCAAATATTTCGAATTTTCAGCCGACTTCATATCTAAAATATTCAGTTAGTATTTTACCTCAAAAAGTATCAAATGTTATAAAAAAAATATAAAATATCTCTTTTTACTATAATTGTATAAGATTCCCTCATTCTTTAACATTAGTAACAATAATAAACACATATATTTTTGATATTTGGAATTTGGAAAATATGAAATGACCTTTTTATGATATTTTGAAACATTTTGATGCTTTTTGTTCAAGTCTTAATACCTGAAATAGTTCAATTCAAATTCTTGTTCAGGAGCTCTTTATGACGCAATCGGAGACTATGACGCAGGATTCTACTTCGCTGGATCTATGATCTTCCTCTCCGGCGCCATGTTGTTCTTTATCCCACCAATTCAGAGAAGAATCGACGCTAAACCTAAATTTAAAATGGCGCAGAGTAAGAGTGAAGACGATCTTCACGAAGAACTATAACAAAACCAGAACAAAACTGAAAATTGAATCAATTCAAAGTTTGTTGTTCAGAAACGATGATAAATCCGTAAACTAGGCCTAATAATAGCCCAGTTTATTCACCAGATTTAAAGGCTCGGAAAAAGTTAAATTTTTCAATGCATAATCTTAATTGATATGTGAAAATAATGCTCACTTTTCCACATGCTCGAACCATTACCCACTGTACGGATACTTTGTTAGAAACAAAAACTAAAGGATTTTCAATGAAAACTAGAAACTGTAGTTTTGGTTTACATTTTTACAACGTATGGAAAATGCAATGCTCAGATCGAAGCCGCCCTTCTCAGGATTCTCAGTCAAACAAAACAATATTTTCGACGGCTTTCATTCAAATAAATAAAATCGAATTTCCTATTGATTCCCATTCAAATTCAGTTATCAATATAATATGTTTTTATAAAAGCTGAAATTTACAAGTAAAATATTGAGACTTTTCTGACTTGAATGTTTCTCATGTTTTATAAGATTTTCCTGACTAAATGTCTCCGGGTCGTAAATATTTTATTTTATCAACCTAGTTTGTATGACGCCAAAAAAGGATACGATCTTTCATTGGATTGGAATTTTTCATTTAATTAACATTTTTTTACCCACTTTTTTATGAAAAGTTTTATGAACTTTGAAAAGTCTGAGAATTGCTGAACATTCGTTAATGTCGGTTCTTCCTTAAAAAACATTTTTTTTATTTAGTCTTCCGTTCTAATGCAGCAATATATGTAGAGTTAATTAAAGGTTAAAACCATCATAACGACCGATCTGTTAAAAATTGCGAATACAAAATTTTGTATTTTCTCGAGCGCGTATCACGGAAACTGTGAAAAATGTCTGTCCATATTTATGAATAAATTGTGTCAGATTGTGTTTAATGCGTATATAATTGTCTTCTTGCACGTACACACTGTTCAAATGTCATGATTGCCTTACTGTACATAATAAAACCGTTCATAAATGTAAAAAATAAAGGTTAGTGTTTTAACTGAACCAATGAAAAACTAAATTTTCACGTCTATAATTTTCTGTTAATAATACGGATGAAAGCGATCTTTGAATTAGTAATATGAATAAATTATTTCAAGTAAGCTGAGAAGTAAACTTGTAAAATCTTAAAGTTATTAAGCATATCAAACCATCCTTCCAAAGTTATAAAATAATAGAATTCATATCGTGAATGTTTCACAAAATATCAACAAAATTTTAAATAATTTTTTGTGAACAATTGATATTTTAAACTAAATCTAAGATTGCGGATCGCTTTTATCCTTTTATTATCAAATATCCTAAACAAGTTTATCTTCTGTTTAATGTTTCGTAAATTGTGATGACATAACGTTCCTTCTTACATACAGGGTGTCCCATTAAACATGGGAATTCAGAGACGATTTTGAAAGAGTTTTGGAAAAAAATTAGCGTTTATTTTACCTAGTATCAATGCTCAAAATAAAGTTACGTCTGATGTAAACGGTGAAAGACTGTTTTATTATTCTACAAAACGTTGTATGATGCTCTGCAACATTTCTGAAAGATACAGTTAAGAGAAACAACTGTACTGTATTTACACGAATTTCTAATATTATTAAGTACACCACAGTATGCCATAAAAACATAAACAAATTCTGAACATTAGCCGACGAATGTTAGCTTTTTTAGTAGGTATCACTATACTAAATCAAAAAATTGTTTACAAAGACGATACCAAAATCGTCCCTGAATTCCCAGGTTTATTTGGACACCCTGAATCATCCTTGAACTGTAAAAATGATACTTAAACCCTTGTGGTCAGAGGGTTGTTATCAGATATGTTTGTTTTCCAGACCTATATATTGATATTAACCCCCTAACTTCAAGTGGTCGTTTTTGGAAAAAATGCCCCCTCTGAAAAATATGTAAATAATGTTTATGTTTTGTGAAATATTGTGATATATCTGACATGTGAATATTTCTAGCATTTGTATCTTTGACCGACGAGTCACAACTTAAATATTTAATAAAATTCTAGTTTAGTATATTTCTTTATGATTTAATTAAAATTAAATATCACAGTCACACATAATGGAGTTTAAAAATTTATCATACTTTTAATTAATTATTTTAGCACCAACATAAAACTATTTCTTTTCGTTGTCCGCAAGGACTGATTGCAGAATATTGGGTGAGGGGGAGAGGGTAGGTAAAGGGTTGAGTAGAAGGGGAGAAGGGGATGACCGGGCAGGAGCAGACAGCTGTTCCTGTTTACTCCGGGCCATCTCTAGAACAGGGAGCTGGATCGGAGTCTGCGGGACGGACTCCTCTTCTAAAAACTTGACAAATGCTTGGGCAATAGATTCATTGATCTGCGCCGGAGTTTTCTGTTGGCCTGATTCCCTCCGACCCCGGAGAAAACCTCCCAACCATCCTGCTCCGTCAACAGATAAACCAGTCTTCCCTCGCTCATCCTGGTTGAAATCTAGCACTGTTGCCACTAATCGGAGAATTTCGGCCTTTTTAGAATAGTCTGCGGTTACATAACCTATAATAAGATTCTTCACTAGTTCTCTATCCACTCTACCAACCTGCGCAGTAGTGGCAGCTTTTAATTTCTCCTGCGCAACTTGTAAAAGTTCTTCTCGAGTCGATACTTCATGCTTTAGTCCAGCAATAACTTGCTGTTTAGCATCAAGCTGCTGACTTAACCGTGTAGCTGCTTCCAGGCCCTCTCCTGCTCTTTCAAGCTGGAGTTTAGCAGCTTCCAGCTGCTCTGTTAGCTCGGAGCATTTTCTCTGTTCTGCTTCAACCTTGTCCAAACATCTTCGCTCAGCTTGACGGATTTCGTTCTCTTTCTAAAAATAATAATAGAATGAAAAACATTGTGTAATAGGAAAGAATAAGACGTCATAATACCGTTTAAACTGTCCACATTGTCTACCACTCTACATGTTCTATATTGCAGTGCTTAGGATCTTTTTCATTTCAAGATCATGATACGGATTCTAGACCAGTCCTAAATATGGTTCCAGATCCGGCTTCAGCTCTTAAGGGAGACCCCCCGGCTATACAACATATTTGAACTGAGAATGCAGTATTGTGGAGGATTAATTTGATACCGATGAGACATTTTACAGCGCACAATTTTAAAATAAGAGCGGAAAGTCTTTTGTAATATTTCACCAGTTGTTTCAGCAAGAGAAAGAAACGTTTTTTACAATTATCTAATAAATCGGTCAAAAGATGTAAAAAAATTAATTGATTTATAAATTTGCTGTCTAGGAACATATTTCTTAAAAGAAATTATCGATGAAAGCCATAGTAGAACCGTAGAATCGATAATTTCATTATCACTGTTACCTTAGCTGTTTCTACAATTTTTTTTCGCAGATTTCTTCACAATTTAAATAAAAAAACCTCCAGCAAGCGACCCTAGCTGAAAGAATTTGCATAACCCCGCTAGATATTAAAATTAACTTTAATAACTTATTTCCAAGGATAGAAGTACATTATTTTTCTCGAAATTACTACACTTTCAGCCCAAATATGTTACACTGCCGGTCTCTCCCTTTAAGTTAAAAACATTTCAGCAGTAAAAAAAAATCCAAAAATTTCTTAGTTTTTTTGTAGAAATTTATTTTACCATTCAATGACCAGAAAGGTTTGAATGATCGCTCATTTGTGGACACTTCAAATATGTGTCTTGAGTTTTGAGATAAAAAAGTGACAGTGGGTCCGGATTCTAAGCTGCATGATCATAACTGTCAACGCTGTCAATAGTTTGTCTGTTTGCTGTCTACTGTCTATCTAACCTGTCTTTGAAATCCCTCCAATGCGAGCTGCAGGTTCCGTAGTGAACTAGTTTTCTCTCGTAGTTTGGTTTGAGAAACCTTGAGCTGCTCCGATAGACTATCTCTACTTGAGGCCGCTGCTGTTAGAGCTTCTGTTAAAGACGAGGTTGCCTCACTGGCCTCCTGACTAGCCTCACTATGTGTGAGACTGGCCTTCTTCACTCTATCCTCCAGCTGTCCTACCCTCATCCTCAGCTCCTGCTCCCGCTCCTCACCCTGCATCAGCTCTTGGGTATATCCTTCCTCAACCTGAACCAGGTGAGCTCTGAGTCTTTCAACCTCCCCCTCAACCCACTTCTTCTTATCTATCACACTCTTCACCTCACGATGAAGATCTCGAACCTCGTTCTCTCTGAATGCGAGTTTAGTCTCCAGACTGGTTTTGTCCTCAGCAAGGGTTCTCATATCTCCTCGTAACCTTTGGCACTCGGAGATGTATTCAAGGTTCTTCTCCGATACATCATTCTTCCGCTCCTCCATCAGTCTGGAGAGTTCTGATTTTGCTTGAACAGAATCCGCCTCAACAAATCTTATTTTCTCTAACAGTTCAGAAATCTGGGATTGTAATTCTTCATTTAAAGCTTTGAAATCTTCCCTCTCCGTCGATCCTGGTTTAGTTTGAAGATCATTTTTCTCCATAATCTCAGAATCTTCCTTCTCCAAGACTTCGGAGAAAATTGTTTTCCTTGTTCCGACCATGTTCAATTTTTTCTCCAACTCCACTATTCGACCCTTCAGGTAGAGCAGTTCATTCGCTTGCTGAACCGTATTCTTGGCTGAGAACCCAGACTGCAGGTTTTCAATCTTTTTCAACTCTTCTCTCATCCCCATGTTTTCTGACTCCAGGACGGATAGTTTCTTCTCTAGGTCTGGTGCAGAGCTCTGTTTTTCCGCGTGTAGGATCTCAAGGATACTCTTGTTCTTCTCCGTTAAACTTTGTATCTCCAGTTCCTTATCCTTGACTAGGTTGCTCAGTTTCTTAATAGTTTCATTCTTCATTTCTCCATAACTATCCCTGCAACAATGAAAAATCAAAACAAGTAATTTTCTTGAAAAATTTTCCTCATTTAGACCTCTAAAGGTGATTTAAAAAGGTTTGGAAAAAAAGTCTAAATAACTGAGCCATGGTTTCCAACATAAATTTTTGAATATTAATGTCCCTTAAAGGGACAGTAAAGGAAAAATGAAAGGGGGTATAGGCTGAAAGCTAATCACTTTAGCTCTTGATCGCGACCCATGAAAGTCATATCTGATGTTCATGTCTCGAGAAATTGATATAAAACTGTGTCAAATATATACGAAAATTTATATATATACATTTTTGTATAAAAGTAGTAGGTTTAAACAGATCATATTCAGCAAATAAGCAACCAATCTGAAAACGATGATATCCCAGAGAAAGCTAATTGTAAATTAGGTTTACTTTTATATTTGTTATTTCTATTTTCAATAGATTTCATTCATAATATTATTTTTACGTCCGTATTATTTGACCAGAAATTCCACCAATGGCAGTGCAGTAAAGTGGTCACGTGATACAGGCGGAGACACGTGACCAGTATACTGCTCTGCCATTGGTGATAGTTCTGGTCACGTGATTTAAGTTTCAGATTTTCAAAATATTACATATATGAATTTTCGTATAATTTTAACACAGTTTTATATCAGTTTCTCGAGACAGGAACATCAGATATAACTTTTATGGGTCGCGACCAAGAGCTAAAGTGATTAGCTTTCAGCCTATACCCCCTTTCATTTTCCCTTTACTGTCCCTTTAATCTAAGGGTTTCTTAAATGATGTTAACAATTCTCAAATAGATTTTTTTTAATTGGTTTTTGTTTATATCATTTAAATATACCTAAGTTCGGATTGTCCTTGTTCTAACTCCTCCCTCTTATCCCGTTCCGTCTCCAGGAGCTGGTGGAGATGCGAGTTCTCAGTCCGGAGCTGAGTTAATTCGCGAGTTTTCTCATTCAAAACCTACGAGTTAATTTTATCTTTAAGCTTTATCTAATCCGGTCATAAGGCTTTATCTGATCAGGGATTAAAAAATCACTATTGAATTCAACAATGTATTCCACTTTAATTTAATTCAATTTCCAAACGATTAAAAACAGTCAGGAAAAAAAAGTATAATAAAGGCAATTTGGCATTTAAAATATCAAGCTTTAATATAAATAATATAAACGTATCGATACAAAAACATGAAAACCTTGAAAGTTTGTCAGAAAAAAAGTTTAAAATTATAATGAAAGATAAAGTCTCGATATTTGTACCTGAACTAAATGCATCTCATTAGGTTGTTCCTCTCCAGGTTCGGAGTCAACTGTCTTTGATTTAGTTTCCACCAACTTTAACTCCAGAGCCTGTACTTTCTCCGACCATAAGTTCAGTTCACCTCTCAATCCGGATATTTCCTGAAGCTGATTCTGATTTAAGTTCTCTAACCTGTGTTCCTCTTCTGATCTTAGGTTTAACTCGGTTCTGAGCTCGGAGATTTCTTGAACCTGGTTCTGGTTCAGGGTTTCCAGCTTCTGTTCCTTCTCCAGCCTCGAGTTCAAGTCCGTTCTTAGTTCTGAAACCTCCTGAGCAAGACTGAGGTTCGCGCTCTCAAGCTCAGTCAGGTTCCGTTGGGCTAGTTTCAGCTCCTTCTCTGTATCTCTAGCTCGGTTCAAGAACAGTTCATTCATCCCTTTCAAATCTGTCAGGGCCTGTTTCAACTCTTCCGAACTCTCTTTAAGGTTCACCATCTCTGCATTCTTCTCAGCAAGCTTAATTTGACTTGCTCCGAAACTTGCGATTTCCTGCTGCAAAATTAATATCTTCTCCTCTAACTCCTTTTCTTTTTCAACCTTCTCTTCTAGGACTGATTCTAATCTATGAATTTCTAATTTAAAATTTGTACTCGACTCTTCAAGCTTCAATGTTTCCTCTAATCTGAGTCTGGTAGATTCAAGTTCTGTCTCTAGATGGGTCTGTTTAGTCTCCTTCTCCAAGGATATAGTACGTAGGTTCATCTCGAACTGATCCTTGAGCATATCTATCTCCGTGTTGAGAGAAGTAATTTGTTCTCTAAGATCCTGACAAACTTCTTTAGACTCTGTTAACAGGGAGGTTTCAGTCTCAAGCCTTTTCATCAAGGTTGAATACTCGCGGTGCGCCTCTTCTAATTCTTTATCTTTTTGTTGAATTGCGTTTTCTCTTTCATCCTTCTCCTGATTAGATTTTCCAACCTCGGCTTCTTGGAACCTTGAAACCAATCCCTGTAAGGTTTCTATTTCCTTCTTTAGACCAAAAATGGCTTCGTTAGAGTTTGACAAAACAACTTCTTCTTCTTCTATGGTTTTAGACAATTGTTTTTCTTCCTCACGACTTATTGATAATTCATTCTTTAATCCATCTCTTTCTAGTTCTAATTCTTGGAGGAGTTGACTCAGTTTCACGGTTTCAAGCTGTTTATCTCCAAGATTAAAACGGAGAACTTCATTCTCGTTGGTTTTGGATTCAAGTTCAACGTTAGCCCTGTCAATTCTTTCGTTTAATTCAACTATGATAAACTCAGAATCAGTCAAGCGCTGTTGGCCGTCAGCCAACTGAGCTTCAAGCTCAATAAATTCCGACTCTAGTCTGGATATTTTTTTTAGATTCGATTCAATGGTTCTCTGGTGTTCTGCATTTTTCTCCTGTTGTGTTTCAAGACGGGACGTTTCCTCCAGCAATTTAATATTTAGAACTTCGCTTTCATTTTTAGCTTCACTTAGTTTTGCAGCAAATTTTTCCCTTTCTTCCTCCCAGCTGCTCCGACTTTGTTCAAACAAAGCAGTTAGATGCTCTTTACCCTGTTCCAGTTGACGAATAGACTCCTGGTCCTGTTCCCGTCCCCTCTCCTGTTCTCTAGCTGCTTCCTCGGCGTCCGGGATGCTAGGGAAACTGAATACGGACGAAGTTTCACTCCGGGTTCTTAGCTCCGAGTTCTGTATGGTCAGGTTGGAGTTCTCCTGCTGGAGGATGAAATATTTCTGCTCCAGGTCCACGTTCTTCATCTTCAACAGAATACTCAGCTCCTAAACGGTCCGGATTCAATTCTCAGATTTAGACATTTTAGTTTCAAAAACAAGGATGGAAAAAAATGCTGAAAATCATTTTTTGAAGATTTATATGTTATCATCATTTTGTATTTTGTAATTGCTTGTTAATAATCTAATTGTTGCCATGCATATACTGCTTATATATACAAAGTATCAATCGATTTCTCTTATTATTTACAAAAATATCTTGCAAACAAGAAAAAAAGGAAAAAACACATTTCTTTCAAATACGAAGTAAATCATTTAAAAATATTTGTTGTTTGTCCGCCAATCTGATCTACTTGCAGCTCAAAAATAGATTCCTTGAAAAATAAAACAACGATTTTTAGTTCTTCGACTTATTTCAAGGTATTTAAAAAAGAAAAAACTAAATCAATCTGAAACTAGTTTTACTATCTCATGCAATGTAAGTAAAGTAACCAAATCACTTGTTAAAGTCTAAAGGCAAGTTAAACTCAAAAATTGATTTAGGAAACAAACTAAATAGTGCAACAAATTCTAATTTTCTAATATTTTTGCAACCTGAAAAGATATTTAAAACTCTGACTAAATTATCTAGAAAAATTAAACTGGTTTAAAATATCAAAGGTCGACGACATCAAGTTTCAAAGATATGATGATTATAAAATTCGAGTTTGTTGCGTGTTGTTAGTCCGGAGACTAGATTTAAAAAGGAAAGACAGAATAACAAGACTAAGTTAACATATTCATGCGTATAGATATTAAGGCATAGAAGAAAACAGAAAAGAAACTCTACATTTTAGTACAAGAAAGATGGCTGAAGACCGGATGTTAAAGAATTGAATTACCCCTGCCTCTAGCTTCCTCTCCGCTAGGTTCTTCCGTTCCTTATCCTGGAGTATCTTGTGTAAACTCTGCTTTAGGTCTCTAAACAGTAATAAACACTTAAGGGATTGTTCACACATTTCCGTTGTAACAATCATGGCATTATGAAAAATTTTTAAATATGGGGTTTGTGATATTATTTCTAGGGATTTTTCAAGAACAAATTTAACTACTTTTAGCAGATTTTATATAACATCTTTTTTAAGTATTCTCTTGTTCTAATATGATTTAAACATCACTATCTTAAATTCAAGAGTTTGATTAAATGAAGCCTATTCATACAATTCTAGAGTGTAAAAAATTTAATGAAAAAGAAAGAAGGAAGATTCAAAAAACTAAACCTAAAACATCAGAACCAAAGAAAAGATTTCTTTCTAAAACAGTATATGACGAGGTATCAAAGCGCCACAAATTTGTGCATAAGATCTTCAAGAAACTACACATAGACAAAGAGAAATATTATGCTCCAATGGAAATTCCTGGTGTAAAACTTGAGCAAATGATCTTCACAATTAAGAAAATACGAAGAAAATTAGGATTTTAACTTCCACTCCAAATTTAACTCCATCAAGGTATTCCTTATTGGAAGTAATTTTAAATGTTAATGTTAGATGAAAAATAAAACACATGGAATAAATGGGAAATTTTAATTCATTACAACTTTAATCTTTAATTTTATCTTTTATTCTTTTATATACATGGAGAATGAAAAGGCTTGGAACGGTGAACCTTGGATTATTATTTCTTCCTTTAAATGGTCTTTTTAATTGATTATATTCACAAAGGTACCCTGCGTGGGTCCAGTGCCAAGGGGCACATTCTGCAAATTTTTACTTTTAAATTTTTTTCTTTATTGAAAGGCACAATCTGTAAAATTAATAAAATTTGTAAAAAATTTAAATTTTTCTTGCACAGGTGAACCCGTTCCAGCCCGGTCTATTCATCATTTCATCAACAACTGAATGGTTTTATATCCTTATTGTATAGGATTCAAGTATTTTTACCTAAAGTATTATGTTTTATCTAATTTAAATAATAGGATTTTATAAAAAACTGGCTCAGTTCTGTATTTTTAATTTCCATTTTTCATAGCCCCCCCCCTTTCTTTTTTAAAAATTAGGAAGAAAAAACTGTAAATGCTCTGGGAAAAGTCGGACACCTCAGAAAGCAAGTTTGTTTACCCTTTTTAATACTAAAAAAAATATTTTCTTATTTCCCCAAATTTAGCGAATAAATCATTCTAATTTAAACCTCACATGGAGAGGAAAAATTATTTTTAAATGGATGAAATGATTTCTCGAGAAAATATACATTAATGGTTCCATGCTTATGAAATTTAAAGAAAAATTACCTGTTCTCCTCTACTAGACTCGTTATATCATAGATATCATCTTGATTTAAACATTTCTTACAATCAACAGAACTACCGTTTACCGTACTACCAGACTTCAGCTCCGATATCATCAGTTCTAGAGCTTTACTCTTCTCTTCACTTCTCTTTAACTCTGACAATAGTTTCTTTAATTTATCGGTGTTCTCTGGGTCGGGGCGAACACCGTTGTTATTGCTAGTGTTGCCTGCACCTTGAGTATCCTTCTCTAGACAAAGTACTGATTCTTCCAACTTCTTCTTCTCTGCTACTAAATCTGTAAGGAAAAGATTCTGCTCCGATAGTTCTCTTTTTAATCTTTTCGTCTCAGCCCTTGATTCATCTAGCTCTAGGAGAACCTTTTCCAGGGTTTCCTCATCCTTACTCTCCTGGAGAAGGTTCAACTTTTCCTGGAGCTGGTTCAGTTTCTCATGAGTTTGGGTTTGATCACGTGTAAGTTTAAGTTTCTCCTCCTCCCACACCTTCCTATTTGTCTCTAAACTGGATCTAAGCTCGGAGCTAACTGATTCCTCCGCTCTGAGTTTGGATAAGATAGTTTGTTGCTCCGATTCAATTTTTAACACAGTATCAGACAGTTCTGAACGCAGATCATTTATTTCAGTCTGCTTCTTTATCAGCTCATCCTCATCCTTCTCCTCTTTCTGATCCGCTAATCTCTGTTGCATTTCTTCCATTTGTTTCATGAAACTTGATTTTTCCTTCTCAAATTCAAGTTCTCGATCCTTCATATTTATCTTCATCTTGGTTAGCTCTTCCTCCAATCCTCTTCGAACCTTGATTCCCTCCTCCTCCTGTTCCTCGTTGTACTTCATCACCTTCTCCAGCTGCTCCTGGAACCTGCTTCTCTCGAGTTCACTCTCAGAGCTTTTGGCCTAAAAAAAATAAAATGATTCATAGAAAACATTATCAAAAGAAATGTCAGATATAAAAATTAATTATTTTCAGCGAAATCCCTAAAGCAGTAAACATCTTAATTCTAAAACTGAAGAGATTGACGAATAAGAACTCCTTTTCTTTCATTATTTTTCTTTAACAATCAGGGGATTTAATCGTGTTGTTTACATTGCGAAGTAAAAGCAAAGAGAGTAAATACACCACTGGAATTATCAAGAAATTAAATTCAAACTATATTTTTTTCTTAAAAAATTCGATTGACCCAGTTTCAATCCAAGTTCAGAGCTTGTAAAAAAAGATATTTCAAAAACGTAGAAGAGTTATCGAACCTTTAATGCTTTGGCATGATTTTCTTCCAGTTTCTCAAATTGTTTTTCCATCCTTAGTTTCAGGTTATCAGTTTCCTTCTCCAAGTCTTGGTTTAACTGCCGTAGGGTTTTCAACTCTCCCATCTGGTCCTTGTTCTCCTCCGTCAGCTTCTCCTTCTCCTTCGTCAACTTCTCTTTCTCCTCCGTCAGCTTCTCCTTCTCCTCCGTCAACTTCACCTTCTCCTCCGTCAGCTTCTCTTTCTCCTCCGTCAGCTTTTCCTTCTCCTCCTTGAGTTTGTTTTTGAGTTTATCACATTCAGCTTGCAGTTTCTTATTTCTCTCACGCAGCTTTTTCTCGCCTAAAGATTATGGTAAGTAAATGCTGCAACTGCAAGAGCATCTTCAGGAGGAATTTTTTACAAAATTTTACAACCCCCCCCCCACCCCCTACATAAAAGGAAAAATGTTAATAATGATGTTCAATGTTTCATCCTCTTTATTAATTTCAAATAATAAAAATCGTTAAAGCATCAAAAATAATTTTATAAAAAACTTGGTGCACAGATTTTACAGTTCATTGTAGAGATATATTTGAAATTGATAAAAGAATCAATCGACATTTTCCCAACGTAATTTCTAGTTATATTAAATTTAAAAGAGTGGCATATCCGATTCATAACGTTACCAAAGCTTTGTAAGATCAAGCATGAATAAGGTATCCAGGTTTGTAACTAAAATTATTTTTTAAATACCATTTTGAATAAGACATTCCCCTGTATATGGACTGAGGCCGAATTGGAAAAATTTGAGCCGCGGCTCAAATACGGTTGTTCCACTTAAAATTTAATTTAATTTTTTAAGATTAAAACCGGCGCTCAATTGAAACCGGTTCTTAAGGAATTTGAGACGCGACTTAAGTTCATTAAAAATGGGACACTGGAGTCACTTAAAAATACAAAATACAGCCTCTTTCGATGAAATATAATGCTTACCTTTACTGCCGCCTCCCCCTGAGTCCTCTATTTCTGGTTCAGTATCAAGCATCTAAAAATATGAAATAATTTAACTAATCATAAGATTAAAACATCTGTTCATTTAATCGAGGGAGGAACAACCAGCTGCAAAAATTCTTCTTTACAAATCTTGAGAGAGGCCCGCCCTCCCTCCATTTTAATCAGAACTAAAACTTGTCTGAACAGAAACCATCTCCAGTCTTCACCTCAATAAATTCCACTAGGTTTAGGTAGGAAAATATTTGAGGGCAGCGGGGTGGGTGAAAAACTGTGGCCTCACCTGTTGCAGTTCTAAAATTTCTTCTTCTTTTTCTAAAAGCAACTGTCGAAAATTTTCACACTGAGCCTCTTTTTCTTGAACGGCTTCCTGAACAAATTATAATAAAAATCACAAAAAACGACATACTTTATTATTTAAATTTTTCTATATTTCTACAATTTTTTCTAAGTTTTTAAAAAAATGTCTTTCTTTAATTGTTTAAATTTGTTTCTTGATTTTTTTCTTTGAATTTTAATGCATTTATTTGAGTAAAACTAACCTCATTTAATGATTCCAAATATTTACATCTATTGTGTAAATCCCTCAAGATGTCGACCTCGGAACCACTGGCCTCTCCTCTCTCCTGCTCTCCGTCTTCAACAAACACATCCTTCGCCATACTGGAGACCTGGCTCTTGATATTCCCAAGCTGTGAGGCTAGACTGGATCCCAACCAACCCGCCATCTTGTCTGAAACATAAAAATAAATAAAATTCAAACTTATCAAGCATTATTTTACATTCTGTTGTAATTTTACATAAAATATTTATCACGAGGTGGATTTTAAAACATTTCAAACATCAGTTTCAGCGGACTTTGCGTCTGATCTTAAGTCCAGCAGTTCCTTTCCCGATCTGACTGACACAATCTATCCTGCAGACCTCTCCTTTGTATTGAGGAAGATATTTCGCCTGGGAGAGCGGAGCAACCTCGCACTCAGCTCCACGGTAGATCGGAACAAAGCTGGCCGCGCAAACATCAAAGGGATTGTGCTCGTCGTAGTTAAGCTGGTGCTCGTCGACCGGGTTCTTGTCGCAGGCCTGCAGGATCTTTCTTGTCTGTTGAGCAACCTCGGGTTTGGGTCCGAGCTCCAGCAGACGACGGGCAAAGGATCCAGCAGTCTTGAAGTTCTTCAGTTTAAAGAACAGATTCAGAGCAGTCCGCAGGGTTAGGATTTGATGGACAGGTTGAAGGTTGCAGTGAGTAAAATATGCAGCCATCTCACAAACACGTTTCTGGTTTTCCAGGGTATCCTTAGGATGCTCCTTTCTTGCACTCTCCATAGTTAATCCAACTAGATAACTGCTACAGATATCTCGGAGCTGCAGAGCTTCAGTCTCGTCCTGTTTAGATTCAACTACGAGGAGAGGGATGGAGAGAAGGATCGATCTAAATTTCTCCGCAGCTTCTCCGAACTTACCACTAGTGGTGAGCTGGTAGGCAGACTGAAGACGAGAAACCAAATCATTAAGTTTCAACCCAACAGCAGGGAGTCCGTTCTTAGGGTTCGCCTCCTTCCAGTTGGATTGAGGACAGATATACATGCTGGGAGTGGAGGCTGAACCAAAAACACTTACTCTGGACCTGGAGTAACTGGTCATAAAGTGAGTCTTGTAAGCCTCGAAGTTGACAACTCCAACCTGGTCGTGGAGCAGACGGAAAGCGCTCTCAAAGTTCCCGGCAAGAATATGATCAATAGGAAGAGAACTGTTGTTGGTCCAGTGCTGAGTGGGAGGAACTCCGCGGGTTGGAGCCACAAAATATCCGTCCTCTCCGTCCCCAGCTGCAACTGGAACAGGTTCAAGATCAGCAGGAAGCTCTAGATCATCCTCATCAGGAGCCCAACCATCTCCTTCTTCATCACCAGCCTCAGCATCCTGGAAATCATCTTTCACCTCACCATCATCATCAAGACCAAGATCAGCCTCTTCTCCCCATTCTCCCTCAGCCTCTCCGTCATCCTCAACTGCCAGACCTACAGCAATACCTTCAGACTTCTTAGCCGTCATCATAGCGGTGTCAAAGAATCCTCGACTAACTGTCAATAGAGGCCAGTTTTGCTCAGACTGTGCAATAGGAGCAGGAGGTTGAAGTAACCTAGCTCCGGGTGCAGGGGAGGGTAGAGGAGTTTTCTCAACATCAACTCCTTCCTTTATTTTCTCTGCTTCCTCCGTAAGTCCGTGAGTCATGGCAGTGAGGTATCCTAGACTGTTCTGTCCACAGCCATTCAGTACCTTAACCCTCTCCTGGACATCTCCGAGATAAAGTGCGTTCTGGAAGTGTCCTGATGTATCCTTTCTGATCTCAGCAATCTTCATCATCTTCTTTAACTTCTCCAGGTTCCCTGTGATCAAGTAGAGGAAAGAGAGCTTGTCAAAGTTTTTAGTTCTCTGGTAGCACATCTCTACTACTTGATGGTTACCCTGGAGAAGAGCTGCTTCACCAAGCTTCTCCCAACAATCCTTGTCGTCCAAGCTTTTGGCAGCCTCAAGAGCAGCCTCAATGTTGCTACACTCAAGAGCAAGGCCGAACCTGGTCTTTTCGTCCTTGACAAAGTGCAAGGCAACCTCTGGATACCCTTTCTGCTGAAGATAGGCAATAATACTTTGTCCAACAAGCTTGGCATTCCTCACCATATGCAGAACCTCCTCGTATTTACGGTTTATGAGCGCCAGTTTAAACTTATATTCAGTAGGATCGATATTCAAGATCCTAGGCTTGCACTCCCGGTCTAGACAGAAGACCTGGCTTCCCTTAATCCTAGTGAGATAAACAGGTAGATCTAAGGTCCGGATAATTCCATGATCTCCGTTGGTGATCGCATACTTGATATGGTTGGAGGTGGTGTAGATCAACACTCCGCTGTCGTCCCAGGTTCCAGATTTAACTCTAGTGTTCTCATGAACAGAGCAGAGAACTTCAAGTTTCCTGGTGCAGATTGTGACAAGGTGCTTCGAGAGAAGCGCAACCAGGGACATATCTGCAGACCAGACAACATACCGACACTTGGGGATCTTCACATTTCCCAGGTTCCTCTTCTGCTGAACATCAAACAGAGTAACGGCGTCGGTATCTCTCAACAGGAGCATTCCCGTCCCAGCGTAGAATATCTCGTCACAGTTGGGTATAGTAAGCTTCTTGGTAACCTCGTTTTTCAGGTTCTTTATCACTAGGGAGTGGGATTTGTCGAGGACGGCAAATCTATTCCTGGCAACCCAGATGGAGGTCAATCCACTCGACCTCTTCCCCTCAGCGGCATGGGAGCTGTCTCCGTCCTCAGAGATGGTGTAGAGATCGTAGGTACTGTTCTCCGTGTTAGTAGCTCGAGTACTCAATAGAACCGAGTTCTCTGCTGCATTGTAGGACATGGAGTAAATAGGACTCCTAGAACCTCCGCGTAGCTGCATCACAGCTGTATCACGGGCAGTTGTAAAATCAAGCTTCCTTAGATACTTCTCCTAGATAATAATGGTTCAACAGAAAGAATTATCTTATAAAATGAAGGAAGTACAAAATTTACATAAGCTAACAAGGGCTTCATATTTAAATATATAAAACAAATTAAAGAGTTGCTTAAACTGATAAATTTAGTCTTATTGTTAAACCGTTCCTTGACGTAGTACAAAATATTCCCAGAGATAGCGTGAGCAGGTCGTTCACGTTCAAGCTTAAACACAACCATACCAGCATCATGACCGGCAGCGAACAGGTTTAGGGTTGGATGCGCAGCAATCACCCAGAATCGGTCGTGTTCGCGTCGGAAAGTATGAAGACAGTTCCTTTTACTCATATCCCATACCCTGCACAGAAAGAGTTCAATAAAATTATTCTAGGTTCGATGAGACGTAAGTAGAAGCTTAGAGTGAATAATGGATAAGTAGGAATAGTAAGGAATAAATAAGACTACGAGCAGAGAAGTTCAGGATGGATAAGTCTAGAATGGATAAGTCTTTGGATACGTCTATGATGGATAAGTCTAGGATAGATAAGTCTATAATGAATAAGTCTAGCATGGATAAGTCTAGGATTGATAAGACTAGGATTGATAAGTCTATGATGGTTAAGTCTGGGATGGATGAGTCTAGGATGAATAAGTCTAAGATGGAGAGTCTAGGATGGATAAGTCTATGATGGATAAGTCTAGGGTGGATAAGTCTATGATGGATAAGTCTAGGACGGATAAGTCTAGGATGGATAAGTCTAGGATGGATAAGTCTAGGATGGATAAGTCTAGGATGGAGGAGACTAGGATGAATAAGTCTAGGATAAATAAGTCTAGCATGGATAAGTCTAGGATGGATGAGTCTTGGATAGATGAGTCTAGGATGGATAAGTCTAGGATGGATGAGTCTAGGATGAATAAGTCTAGAATGAATAAGTCTAGGATGGATAAGTCTAGGATGGATGAGTCTAGGATGGATGAGTCTAGGATGGATAAGTCTAGGATGGATAAGTCTAGGATGGATAAGTCTAGGATGGATAAGTCTAGGATGGATGAGTCTAGGATGGATGAGTCCAGGATTGATAAGTGTGAGATGGATAAGTCTGGGATGGTTAAATCTAGAATAGTGAGTCTAGGATGGATGATTGAAAAATCCTCGCCCCTATCATGAATGAAGGATTAATTAATGAATAATAACCTGATTGATCTATCCTCACTGTTAGACAAGATTAGCTCCTGTCGTGGATGAAAGATGGAGCAGCTGACATTATTATAATGTCCACGGCATGTATCTACCTCCCAAGCCTAATTCAATAATATAAATAACTATTTTAAAGAAAAGTTTTCAGGATAAACAAAACAAAAAAAGTATGATTATTTTTATTATTTTTTTTTATACAGAAAAACTCGTTAAAATACCCCTCGCCCCCCCCCCCCACCCTAAAGAGGTCAAATTTGCCAAATTTTAACTTCTTTAATAACAAATTCAAATAAAATATATACCCAATGTTCATACATTTTTTAATGGCAAGACACTTATGGTTAAAGATATGTAGTTAAAAATAGACATTCCAATGTGATAAAAAGGAACAAGAATTAATTTAAATAAACGCCCAAAAACGTATTTAATTCAGATTAATGGATAATACATTGAACAAAACATAAACAAACACAAGAACAGACAAATACATTAAGGAGTAGATCTGAAACCTACCGAAATCAGATAAGAACTAATTAATTAATAAAAAATGGAAAATTATGGTGGAAAATAAAGTAGAGATAAGAAGTGTATATAGGTCAATTAGTTTTTTTTGCCCCCCCCCCCCCCTCCCTATACATGAAGGTTCTTTGATTCGTTCACAACGAATCCTGTCTTTTTAAAGCATAAAAAACCAGTGAACATTTCCAAAATTGTCTCAAACCAACCAGTGTTAAGACCTGTCTTACTGTCAGCAGAACCAGAAAAAATTCGATCGTGACAACAAATAAATATTACGTCAGGTAAAAAAAAGGAAAAAAATCTGAAAGATAAAAATTTTATTCATATAAAAAATTAGAAATTTACTAGAATAATTGTGTAAAAAAAATTATGAAAAGCAAAATGGCAAACTTACATTTTTAATGTTTGCTGAGTGTCCAGGGCCCAAACTGGAGCTCTACGACACCAAAAATAAGTGCAAAATTCTAACAAAAACAAACCCATCACCATCTAACTACTTTCGAAAATTTTCACATTAAAAGTTTAGAAAAGAAAAGTTGTGTCGGACGTTTTAATAAATGCATGCAGTGTGATAAGAGTATATTTTTACCGTATAAAAACACCCTATCTATCCCAACTCAGATTTTTTATCTTGAATTGTTGACTACATAATTGTTCATTGAGCTAAATGATGCAATTGTGAATCATTAACAGCACAAGTTAAAATAAAAGGTTTATAAAAGACACTGCAAAGTTAAACCTTTTATTTTTGGTGAGAGGGATAATTCTGGTAAAAATATACTCCTGCAGTTTATGTTTGTTTACAATCTAACCTTGTTGTCATTCATCCTCCAGAGTTTAATCTGCCGGTCATCAGCGCCGGAGACAATCAGAGGCATGGTTGGATGGAAGGATGCCCAGTTCACTCCTCGGTCATGACCTTCAAGGACATGCTTCACCACAGCATCAGCCTGTACAATATACAGTAGAATAGTCTAGTAGATAAAATTGTACAGAAGTGTAGAGTGCATTGTATAATAGCAGGGTTCAGAAGTGTGGTACAGTATACAGTTGAGTACATTGTGTAGAAGTAGAGTACAGTGCAGTATAATACTGTACAGTAAAGTAAATTGGGTAGCAGTATATTGTAAAAAAGTAGAGTGCAGTAGTGTAATACATTACTGTACAGTTGAGTACATTGTATAGGAGTAGAGTACGTTATATAAAAGGAGAGTACATGTATAGGAGTAGAGTACATTGTATAAAAAGCAAAGTACAGTGGAGAAAATTGTACAAAAAAGTTAAGTACAGCGTAAAGTAATGTGAAGTACGGTTTATAAATTGGTAAGCTACAGTGTCACGTTTTCCTAAAACTATAAAAGGTGAAAAATAACTTTTCCGAGATGTTAATAATCACTCCATAGTCTAATTTTTCCCCAGGAATTTTTAACACATTTAAAGTTTTTAGGAGTGAGGTTAAAAAAACATTCAAACTTAGCAGACTTGTGAAGAAAGCAATAATCTAACCAGTACTTTTTGTATTCTTCAGTTTTATAAAGATAGTTTAATTGAATTAAATAAGACCATCATTAAACCCAATTCTTTTCCTCACCTGACCAAATAGATCGGTTGCTCCTGGGTTCTTCAAATGATCTTCTAGTCCACCAGGACCCGGAGCTACAGACTTCTTCCTCAACCCGGATATATCCCAAACCCTGATTATATCAAGATCAGTTTATATTTTACCCGGAGATATCACAAACCCTGGTAGATCAAGATCTGTTTATATTTAACCCGGAGATTACCAAACCCTGATAGATCAAGATCAGTTTATATTTAACCCGGAGATATCCCAAACCCTGATAGATCAAGACCAGTTTATATTTAACGCGAAATATCCCAAACCATGAAAGACCAAGATCAGTTCATATTTAACCCGGAGATATCCCAAACCATGATAGATCAAGATCAGTTTATATTTAAATCGTAATATCCTAAACTCTGATAGATCACGATGATTTTATATTTAACCCGGAGATATCCCAAACCATGATAAAACCTGATCAGTGTATATTTAACCCGGAAATTATGATAGATCAAGATACGTGTATATTTAATCCGGCCATATCCCAAACCATGATAGATCAAGATTAGTGTATATTTAACCCGGAGATATCCCAAACCATGATAGATCAAGATCAGTTTACCGGAGATATCCCAAACCATAATAAATCCCGATTAGTTCATATTAACACGAAATAAACCAAACTCTAATAGATCACGATCAGTTTATATTTAACCCGGAGATATCCCAACCCATGATAAAACCTGATCAGTTTATTTTTAATCCGTAGATAACCAAACCATGATAGATCAAGATCAGTTTATATTTAACCCGAAGATATTCCAAACCATGATAAAAGATCAGTTTATATTTAACCCGAAATATCCCAAACCATGATAGAACAAGATCAGTATATATTTATCCCAGGGATATCCAAAACCCTGATAAATCAAGATCAGCTTGTATTTAATTCTTTAACCAATGTATTCGGCCAGACCATTTCCAACGGAATTTTTTCATTAAATATTTTCAAAGGGTTTGTTTACTTTATACTTTTTAATCCCTTTAAGGTAAAGTTAGGTTCTAACATAAAAGGGGGAAACTGTTAACGGTTTAATTTTATTTTAAAAAGTATTTCTTACATATTGACTCTGCCGATAGATTTATTTCTAGTAGTAGCAACCAGTATTTGACGATTTGGACACATGCAATGTTAAGTTATTTAATTAGGATAATAATCATAAACCGTATATCTTTATTTTTTCAAAGTTTCAAGAGAATGGAGATGAAAAATTGAAGAAAAAAAATCTTCGAGATACTTTTCTGTTTAGCCCCCAACCCCCCCGTTGACTAGTCTGATCAAGACTAGCAGATACAATAACAGCCCTAGCCCCCCCCNGTTGACTTACCTAACAGTCTGATCAAGACTAGCAGAGACAATCAGATCCTCTGAAGCATGAAACTGTGCACACATCACGTAGTGATTATGTCCGGTCAACACAGAAATACAGTTTCTAGATTGCCAGTTCCAGATTCGTACAGTCTATAATACAAAACATGTATTGATGTTGATAAAAACCCATATTTCTTTTGTAAATCTAGTCCATTGTACTAAGGAGATCATTGTTTACATTTGCTTTTGGGCGGCGGGGGTGGTTCATTGAGCCTTTTCAGGGTTTATTTTAGATTTTTTTGTCTGGGATTTTATCGGTTGAGGAAGGTCGATGTTGCATAAAAAATTATAATTAAATTTAGAGCTTATTTTCTTCTTTTTCCCAAAAAAAAGCTTGATCAAAAATAAAATCAATATATTTTTAACAGTTGTTTTTATTTTCATTTTGAATCGTTTAACTACAGATAATTCAAATACTCCAGTAATTGTTATCTATCAGTATTATGTTCTGGGTCCTTCAATTTTTTAGGACCACCCTGTAAATATATTTACCTGGTCGTCTGAAGCTGAGAGTATCCAAGGGTATTCATGATGAAAAACTGTTGTACGAATATAATCAAGATGACCCAGAAGTGTAAAGATACAACGCCGCTGCTTGTAATTCCAAACCTTAATTAAAAAAGTAGAAAATCGGCATGCACGAGATTATGACCTTTAAAAATATATTTAAACAAGAATTTAAGATTCTACTGATATATGTAAAAGTTGAAAATTTAATATGAAAAAGAAACAAATAAATAAGCTAGTTTTATTTAAAAAAATTCAAGGGTGATTTGATAGAAAACAATTCTGACTCGCTAAATCCTAAGGTATGAGATTATTAAAATTCAGAAATAAAATCGTTCACTACCAGTTTATGTATCAGTCGTTACCTTTATCTTGTAATCGTCTCCACCGGAGACGAACAGTGGCTGTTGCTTATGGAAGTCGACGCCGCGGACTGGACCGTCGTGTTCGTCAAATTTCTCCAGCAAAGTACACATTCGGTAATCCCATAGCTAATTCAATTATTCAGATTATTTTTAGCAATGTTTCAAATTATTAAGAGGTAGGCAAAATAAAATGTGAATAGTTTAGGGATAAAAAGTCCCATGCATAAATATTTTTAAAACCTAGCAATTGAAACTATTAAAAATAAATTTCCCCTTTTAAACTGAGATTTTCTTTATTTAACCCATATTGATGAAATAAATTGTTCTTAGATTCAGATTTTAAAAAGCAACGCTTTGAAAATTAATTCAGACAAACTGTCCTGAAATTAATACACCTACCAAAAGTTTTAAAACAAATGTAGAGTAGATAGTAGGGGGGAGGAAAGTCCAAAAATCGGGTCTGTCCCAGTGAACGATTTTTGGACCCCCCCCCCCTCCTATCAATTTTGTACATAACGAAATTAGTATTTATTTAGCATTATTTAGGGTTAGGTTAGGTTAAGACACTTTCTGGGCCGAGCGCTGCGGCCACGGGTTAGGTTAGTTTAGACACTTTCTGGGCCGAGCGCTGCGGTTAGGAAAGGCTAGGGGGCCGAGCGCTGCGGCCACACGGTCAGTTATATCCATGTCTAACATATAAGATCCTTGTACATTGATAGGAGGGGGGGGGGGCGGGTGGGGGTCCAAAAATCGTTCTCTAGGAATATACCCAAAAATCGTACAATAGGATTCGACCCTAGTTCGCTTCCTCTAGGTAGGGTTGGAGGGTACCGGAGTGGGATGTTTATTTTTCAACAAATTACATAATTAAAGTTTACCTGAATAACTCCATTGTGAAGAGATGCAAGAACCCAGGGACGAGTTGGATGAAAGGATAAACCCTTGACCCGGGGAGACTTAGTCTCGAATTTAGTCAACATCTCATTAATAGATCTGAAAAAAAAACATTGTATGAAGATAATTAACCTTTTAAACTCAATTAAAATGTGTTCAGGATGTAAATTGGTTAAGCTCGAATTTGAGATTTATTGGAACAAATTTCTTTACAGAATAACTATGTTAAATCTGAGTTCTGTCATATAAAATTTAAATTATAATTTAACAGATTATCAGATCAGATGATGTTTTAAGCCGTTCAGAATGAAATAAATGTATGTAATCCGACAAATTACACAAAAAAAAAATATTGCAGATCTTAAATAACTCTTTCTCAATATTTTCAGCACTAATTTCTTGCTGCTTTTCACTGAAAAATTGGTAAAAAATGCAATAAGTTGAAGTGATAAATATTTCCTGTTGAAAAGTGAAACCTGTGACGTGGGTAACAATATTGCGGCATTGAGAAGAGCTGTTTGACTCTACGCAGTAACAGGGATAAACATTTTACATAAATTCCAAAATAGTTAAAAAAAATTTCAATGAAAGTTATCCAAAAACTATCTTTTTACACTCAATAAAAAAACTATTTCGTGAATAACCTGTGGAAGATTGTTGGCAATTCTAGGTTCTACGTAGAAATGTAAATATTCGGCTGAATAAATTTTAAAAAAGACGATCTTTAAAACTAATAAATTATTTGCTTTCATGATTGCAAATTTTTCTTTTTTTCTGGGGTACAGACTACAGAGCCGTATACAAGGAAGGGGGGTTATGTGGGCTTATCCCCCCCTCTGCAGAAGAAGGATAATTATAAAGTTACAGAGATAATGGAGTATAGAAGATGGAGCAACGGACAACGGTAAGTATGACATTGTCTGCAGGGAGGGAGAGAAGGCAGCCTCCCCCGAACAGCTTCCGAACCTCATTTCAGTGCGCGTCCCCATGGCTTCTGAATCTTCCCCAAACAGTCTTCCGGGAATGATCTTCCAGTTATAATCCTCAATTTCCAAGAGCGTATTTCGTAGGAGCTCTATAGGGGGGGGGGGGGAATTTGAACTGTAAATTCAAAACATTTGGCTTCTTGGATATCAGGCATAGTATTAGATATTTTAAAGGTTCACATTCAGTCCAATTACCTTGCATGTAATTTACTATACTTTATTTCTCCTTTAAACAAAACTAGCAGGAATCAACATTTTATTGTTATAGTAATAATTATTATTTAAACTAAGTAACAGAGATTTTTGAAGATGAAAAACTCAACTCAAACTTAAATTCTATGAGAAGAAAACAAGGACAAATATGGTCAAGAAAATAATTATGACTTGTAAAAGTTTCTGTTTTGAAAAAAAGTAGGAGTACAATTGTAGTCTATAATAAAGCTCTTCGTTCATTTATATGCTTGCTATGGCTGGCCAAACGGGCAACGACTGAATCAAATGGGCTGAATTTTAGTGAGGAAACTCATGGATACCCTTGGGGATGACATAAGCTATGATTGGTTTCAGAATCTTTTACGTCATAACAATTAAACCTATAACTGCAGACGAAAAGTGAAGTATATTAAGTTAGTTTACCTGCAAAATAATGCATTAAACAACAATAACAGGCAATTTTTGCTGTGCTCTAATTGAAGAAAATGCAATTATCTTTCGATCTATTGTTTTTCAAATTTGTAGAACTGTTAAAAGAAGCACCAAATTATTAGGTTATAACAGAGTTTAGTTTTCTTTACATATCTTAATAACTAGAAAGAAAATCTGCAAACAACGATGAACTACCGTGCTTAAATAATCTAATTTGTCCCGTTTTGAGTAGAAATTTACGATCTATAAATGGAAGATCATTCCCGAAAGGCTGCCGCAAATAGGTAAAATGAGATTTGGAAGCTGTGTGGGGGAAGGTTGCCCTCTCTCCCTCGTCCAGGGGGTGGGGATAACTGAATTCCCCCTTATAATTTTAACAATGAATTTGGTCAATTTTATGCGAAAACCATCAGCAGCTTGGGGGGCTGGTAGGTGAAAATGTGTCGGCAAGACGAGTAAGATTTGTATTTTTAGAAAAATATTAATTTTGAGTGTAAAAGTGGTGCCGGACTCGTAGGCAGCATTTTTTTTAAATCGATTGTTAAAAATCAAAATTTAAGGCCGGGCTAGAGTGGGGGAGGGATGTCCTCATCCCAATTTTCCATAAGCCGCCTCTGATACTGAAATAATGGAGGAGAAGATCAGAAGATGGAGAACCTGCAACGATATTACTATTACAGATAATGGAAGAGAAGATGAATTAATTGTTAGGAATGAGATAAAGAATACAGAGATAATGGAAGAGAAGATGAATTAATGGTTAGGAAGGAGATAAAAAATACAGAGATAATGGAAGAGAAGATGAATTGATGGTTAGGAAGGAGATAAAGAATACAGAGATAATGGAAGAGAAGATGAATTAATGGTTAGAAAGGAGATAAAGAATACAGAGATAATTGCAAGAAGAAGATGAAGTACTAATAGTGGTAAATAGGAAGTAAAGGTAAGAAAGAAAACAGATGAAGAGATGAAAATGAAAAAAATGGAGGTGAGGTTAAGAAATTAAGAATACAGGAAATACAGAGAAACTAATCGAGAAAATGAAGGTAAGGCAAAGAAGTATACAGGTATTGAAGCTGAAGATGGAGTATAAAGGTAAGGAAGAGAGATAGAGAAGATGGAGTAAAGTTAATGAAGAATACAGAATACAGAGATAATAAAGGAGAAGATTAGTAAAGTTAATGAAGAATACAGGATACAGAGATAATCAATGAGAAGACAAGTAAAGGTAAGGAAGAATACAGGATACAGAGATAATAAAGGAGAAGACAAGTAAAGTTAATGAAGAATACAGGATTCAGAGATAATAAAGAAGAAGACAAGTAAAGTTAAGAAAGAATACAGGATACAGAGATAATAAAGGAGAAGACGAGTAAAGCTAAGGAAGAATACAGGATACAGAGATAATAAAGGAGAAGACAAGTAAAGTTAATGAAGAATACAGAATACAGAGATAATAAAGGAGAAGCAAGTAAAGTTAATGAAGAATACAGAATACAGAGATAATAAAGGAGAAGACAAGTAAAGTTAATGAAGAATACAGAATACAGAGATAATAAAGGAGAAGACAAGTAAAGTTAATGAAGAATACAGAATACAGAGATAGTCAAGGAGAAGACAAGTAAAGCTAAGGAAGAATACAGGATACAGAGATAATAAAGGAGAAGACAAGTAAAGCTAAGGAAGAATACAGAATACAGAGATAGTCAAGGAGAAGACAAGTAAAGCTAAGGAAGAATACAGGATACAGAGATAATAAAGGAGAAGACAAGTAAAGCTAAGGAAGAATACAAGATACAGAGATAATAAAGAGAAGACAAGTAAAGCTAAGGAAGAATAAAGGATACAGAGATAATAAAGGAGAAGACGAGTAAAGCTAAGGAAGAATACAGGATACAGAGATAACAAAGGAGAAGACAAGTAATGTATCCTTATTTTTTTTATAAGGATACAGTACATTTCATACAGAAACAATTTAAGGCCGAATTTACGGTTCGTTAAAATATAATAAAACGATAGAATAAGAGATATATGACATGAAGAAATTGAAACTTGAAAGTAAGAAAGAAAGAGGATAAATAACATGTATGATTGAGAGGAAGGAAGAGAATTAGTATTTAATTGGAGTACCCGAGGTGGGAGGGGGAATACCAAGGTTTGTGTGAGATCGGACTTGCTAATTTTACACTTATCTCATTATTCCGGAGTATTGAATCTGTAAGGACTAAAGGATATTTGGCAATTTACTACATTCACTTTTATATGCGCCCATTCGCCCTAATTTTAGTCATTTGCGCCCATCCGTCCCTTCCAGTTATGTGAATTAACCATTGCACTGGAATATTTACACAGAAAAAGACTAAAAAACGACCTAAAACTAATAAAATGTCAGTATGTTGAAAAATTTCTTCTTCCTTGAATAATCAATATCGTTTATAGTAAAGATGGGTATGATTTTTCAAATAAAGGAAAGATTTTACACTTTCTGATGCAGGAACCCAAAATGTAAGAAAAAAGACTGAATATATTCCTTGCGGTCGTCTCACTTTCTCTCTCATGTATAGAGGGTAATTGCATCTTTAGTTTTTAATCGTTAATTTTAAAATGTGAAAAAAATCTAGTCATATTTCATCGAGAACAATAGAATTCATTGATCAAAAAGGCCATTGGTATATTTGAAATTTCAAAATCTATTACGGAACAGTAGACCCCCCCCCCCGCATCATCCATTCTATAATGTATTTTTTCCTTCTCTTATAATCTGTATTGATTTATAAATGTTATTCCAAGCTCTCTGTTTTCATTTCTTTAATTGGCACGGAATAACACTTAATTAATCACTTTAGTTCATTAATTAAATGAATATAAAAATAAGATATTAGAATAAAGTCATACTTTAACATGATAACACCAGATGAGATTATGGCCGCGGTCAGTATTGAAGATTGTCAAAATGTGAATCATGATGAAGCTAAAACGATTGAAATGAAAGAGAAGGGTGTACGGTGTTAACAGTGTACACTGTACAATTTGTCAAAAAAAACCATCCATTGCGATGAAATGTTTTAAACGGAAATGGTATGTTATTGTTATACGATATTAATTATTATTCTTCACTGAATTATCAAAATTTTATCGATCTTTTTTAGTTGACGAACTATAAAAAGAAGTTTATTTAATACAACAAAAAACCTATGAAATGTATTTAAAGTTTCTATGGAAGTAAATAAACGCCCCCTCTCTAAACAAACTTAATGTTCATTAGTCCAGTTAATTGCCGCTGTGAGCAATTTGAGTCTGATTGTCCGAATCCCTTTTCCCGGGGTGGGATATAGGTCTACACACCATTTCCGCATCATCAGAACAAAAAACTTGGAATGTTGGAAATTTTAAAGAAAATAAAGAGACTGATTCCTCGCCTCAACCTCTCATTTTCAAATCCCTCTTTGCAGCCTGAAGGAGTAAAAGTTTGATTTTTCAAACTT